TGGGTGCAGGCTGTGTTGAAGGTGAATCCAGCACTAGGGGCACTGCAGGTGATGCCTGAGGGAGAGGTTGAATAAGAGCCGTCATTGTATACGACCACACGGGCAAATGGCATGGTCGGATTTAATACACTCCACTCGGCCAGGTCAAGAAGGTACGGGTGCAAGGGCGAGACAATCACAGCAGTCGCAGCTTTCTCAACAACAACCACCGATCCAAGTCCGGACACGTTGGCGCCATTATAACGGTCATTCGTGACCATCGGGACGGGGAATGCGGTTTGGCCAGCAGGGACTTGTGTGACAGTATTATCATCAACAAGGTCTAGGGTCTCGCAGTACACGCCAATGCGCGTACTACTGTCCGCGACCGTGGCAGCGGCGTTAATTAGTAAACTGCCCAAAAGCACACTACCATCGTCTAGATAAGTCACATCTGCATTGGTTTGACGGCGGAAAAGCGCGATGATGGACGTGGCGTCTGGCACAATGTCATATGAACCAGTCCAGGTGCTCGAGTCCACGCTGAAGCCCGAAATTGTGAGGCCGCTGTGTTGCACTGAAAAGCGCACCTGGAAGAGCTCAACTTCGAACGATGTGTTTGCGTAGAGCAAAATTTCATTACTGGTGCCGGCAAACAGCGGCGCCGAAGGAAACACGGCAAACAAATTGTTGGCCACCACACCCAGAGACTGTTGTTTGTACAAGATCATGGTGTCGCTGGTGGCGACCAGTCCAAGTGCAGCCTGTGTCGCCTGAATGCGGATGTTGGTTTCATCAGTACGGTCAAACCATGCTGTTGGAACAGTTAGCACTACCGAGCACACGCCCGAAGTCGATGCCGATACAGTGCAAGACGTTGAGCTGGACTGGGATGCCGGCTCGCCATCAATCTGAATGACGGCTGTGATGAGCGTGTTTGAGATTCGCGTATGGCCGTGAATGCCACTGGCAGTCAATAATACGCGAATGGTTCGATCATCGTAGTACACGGCGTTGGTGGGTAGCGTAATGGCAATGGTGGTGGCGGGCAACAACGGACGACTGAGTGAGACAGAAGGTGTCTTGACTTGACCAACAAAGCCGGCCGCAGAGACAGACGAAGAGAGAGGAAGACTAGCATTGTAGAGGCTTGTGGTGGCGTCAGCGTCAATAGGTGCAGCAAAGAAGGCTGAGCTGATAGAGGGGCTTGATGAGAGGGCCAATTGAACAGGCAGGGTGCCGTAGGAGCTTTGATTAAACGTGGCAGCAATGAGGCCTGAGGGGATGGCGGTAGTTGTACTGGAGGTACTGCTGGTGCTGGAGGTGCTGGAGGTGCTGGAGGTGCTGGAGGTGCTCGAGGTACTGGAAGTACTGCTGGTGCTCGAGGTACTGCTGGTGCTCGAGGTACTGGAGGTGCTGCTGGTACTGGAAGTGCTGGAAGTACTGCTGGTGCTGGAAGTACTGCTGGTGCTGGAAGTACTGCTGGTGCTCGAGGTACTGCTGGTGCTGCTGGTGCTCGAGGTACTGGAGGTGCTGCTCGTGCTGCTGGTGCTCGAGGTGCTGGAAGTACTGCTGGTGCTGGAAGTACTGCTGGTGCTGCTGGTGCTCGAGGTACTGGAGGTGCTGGAGGTACTGCTGGTGCTTGAGGTACTGGAGGTGCTGGAAGTACTGCTGGTGCTGCTGGTGCTGCTGGTACTGCTGGTGCTCGAGGTACTGGAGGTACTGGAAGTACTGCTGCTGCTCGAGGTACTGGAGGTGCTGGAAGTACTGCTGGTGCTCGAGGTACTCGAGGTGCTCGAGGTACTCGAGGTGCTGGAGGTACTACTGGTGCTACTGGTGCTCGAGGTGCTGGATGTGCTGCTCGTACTCGATGTGCTGCTCGTACTCGATGTGCTCGAAGTGCTGCTAGTACTGGAGGTACTGCTAGTGCTGGAGGTACTGCTAGTGCTGGAGGTACTGCTAGTGCTGCTGGTGCTGGAGGTACTGCTAGTGCTGCTAGTACTTGATGTGCTTCTGGTGCTGGAGGTACTGCCAGTGCTGCTAGTACTTGATGTGCTGCTGGTACTGCTGGTACTGCTAGTACTTGATGTGCTGCTAGTGCTGGAGGTACTGCTAGTGCTGCTAGTACTTGATGTGCTGCTGGTGCTTGACGAGCTGCTGGTACTGCTGGTACTGCTAGTACTTGATGTGCTGCTGGTGCTTGACGAGCTGCTGGTACTGCTGGTACTGCTAGTACTTGATGTGCTGCTGGTGCTTGACGAGCTGCTGGTACTGCTAGTACTTGATGTGCTGCTGGTGCTTGACGAGCTGCTGGTACTGCTGGTACTGCTAGTACTTGATGTGCTGCTGGTGCTTGACGAGCTGCTGGTACTGCTAGTACTTGATGTGCTGCTGGTGCTTGACGAGCTGCTGGTACTGCTGGTGCTTGATGTGCTGCTGGTAGTGCTGGTGCTTGACGAGCTGCTGGTACTGCTGGTACTGCTAGAGCTAGACGTACTACTAGTGCTTGAAGTGCTCGATGAGCTGCTTGAGCTAGAAGTACTGCTGGTACTTGAGGTGCTGCTGGTGCTACTGGTGCTTGAGGTGCTTTGAGCGACAAACGTAGCATTTAAGTGCTCACCAACTTCACAGCCAGTGGTACAGTACTGAACATAAACGGAACCGATGGACTGAAATTCCGAAGTGCATTGGCATTGACAATACGTATCCCCACCACGTTTATAGTAGTTACAGCCGGCCTCACAGGCACGTCTGGGCGTGGAATCTGGAAAGCGATTGTAGCATGACTGATCGTCTTCAGTATCTGTGCACTTTTCTTCAGCTGTAAGGACCGATTCAAAAAGGGGGCAGGCGTCGGGGTGAGGTTGTTTCAGTCGTGACCGCGATGAAATTCTTGCACGACGGATCAAGCAAAATTTTTTTCCCTCAATCAGACGCCGAGTGAAGCAACGTACCGTAATTGGCTGGATCGGTCGCAACGCATGGTGCTTGAGTCTGTGGTGCCAGCGTTGCAGTGGTTCCCGGAATTGTAGTCGATGCAACGGAGGTTGTGGCTGCTGCTGCTTCCTCTTGAGCATACGCACAACCTTCAAAGCACGGCTGTGTATCGCCGAAGCCAGCAAAGCTGTTGCACTGAGAACAGTCGCTAAAGCCACACCCGTATCGGCAGAGCAGCAAAGATTGGCCCGAATAAAGAGCAGAGCAATAATTTTGGCATCCTGCCGACTGTGCCTGGATAGGGGCAAGCATGGCTAAAAGAAGTAGCCAGCAGGCCAGCGCCTGTTTATCCATCCTGACGGTGTTGTGATAAACTCGCGATCTTTGCTCCTTTGCAAAGCGTGTGCCGCGAGGCAACGATCAACCTGAACCGTTGCGAGCGCACCGCGTCATCGTGTGAAAACCGAAATGAAGGGGCGGAAAATGTGTGAAAAACAGCTGTTTTCACTCGTTAGTTCTCCTCTACGTTTGGTGCTTTTGTCTCCCATTCAAAGGTGACCACGAAAAACGAGAGAAAAAAAAGTTTTTGATCTTTTTTTTTTGGTTTTGGTCGCTGATCAAGCCATCACCCATGCAGTGCTACTCGAGCTTTCGATCAAGTCGATTGACAATCTGTAAATCCTGGTTTGTGGCATCTCGCCCTCGTGTGACCTTTCATGAGTCAATTGCGGTGGCAAGCATAGGAGGCAGGGAGTCAAGTGGAATTCTTGATACATGCACACGAGGTATGCTCCGCGAGGTTCCGTAGGCCAAAAATATTCCCAGCGACTTCATTCTTATAATAATCAAGCCGCCTTGACTATACCTCGATCCGCCGAGGAGCAACGGTCACAGTGAGATATCAAGATGTTGAGTGATAGATGTAACCGTAAATTGATGTGATACAGTGATAGAAGATGCTTATTTCGATGTTCGGGTTTCTATTAGACGTTCACGAGATATTTGGCGTCCAGCGCCCGGGGCCAAGTCATATTGATGTGAGCTGCTGCTTCACGCGTGGTTCGCAGCACAGCGTCCAACATGCTTTGCTCTGCTACGTGAGGAAAATTGTGTCGACTAATGGTTAACAGGGCACTCAAGAAGGCTGCAAAGCTCATCGAGCCACGTTTCAAGCCATGTCGCTTCAGAGTGTCCAAGTATAGAAGATCACAGGCTGTGCCAATCTGTGTGTTCGACGAACGAATATCATGAGGGTGAGGTCTGGTGGAACAACATTATCAGAAACGGGCAATCCTAGCTATTGATGTTTCTGACTGACCATGGGTTTGACCGAGGGGTCAATGCCACAGTGACGTATAAACTTTCGAAAAGCGCTGCTCCCCATCACAACAGCAGTCATTCTGTGACCGGGCAAGACATTACAGAATGGGGCGCGCACGGGTCTTGTTAGCGTCAAATTCGTGCTTCCACGCATTTGAGCCTGACAGATCTAGGTGAACGGGCTACTCACGTATGTGAAGCATACTTCAAGAAGACCTCGAGCAGAGCGTCATTGAGCTGGAGAATGGGCGCAAAGGTCACATTTATGTCCTGTTCTAGTGGCACGTAGTCATAGAAGTTGTGCGTTGGCAAATGGGCTTCTTCGCCCTTGTCTGCACCAATAGATGCACGCTTTTTCTTGGACGTGCTAGACGGTTCACTCGGCCGCTCTCCATCCGGCCCACGTGACTAAGAAGGTGTTCAGAAGCCGTGAGTGCAAGCTTTGGTCTTGGGAAAGGCCTTCCCAACGAGAGGCGATGCATGGTGCCACAAGAGGCGAATATTCAAGGTGCAAATGCACACGTGTGTACAGCCGATTGTACCTGGCGCTGGCGTCGGGCACTGAGGCGTGCCTGTCGCTCCTGGTATTGCCGTTGAGCAGCACTTAGTGGTTTCGGGGGCACGAGGGATCTGCCTTCCTCGGCAAGTCGCTGGTCTTCATCCATGAGGATGCACAGGGCGTCGCCCACTGCATTGAGCTTAATCATCTCATCAACGGGAGAGGGAACAATGCGATGACTCCCATCAGGCATTTTCATATCAAAATCAATGCGCAGGCTTGGGTTGGCGTTGATCTCAATCAAATGCGGGTGCAACGTCTGCGAGGTTATGCCACAAACCAATAAACAAGCTTAATTATAGAACAGGCCGGTTTGCTGTCGAGTCTTCAAAATTTGGCGAACCCTGCTGACTGGTCTTACCTCGTCAATCAGAACATCAAAGCCTAAAAGCTGAAAAGGGCGTACGGCCCTCTCCTTGGACTAGAGGCAAACCATTTGCAATGAAACTTAAAATGTGCAACTTGCACTTTGTTAAGTCACCGACGAGGTCACGAGTTGTTGTGCAAGCAATAGACAAACCTTGGGTACAGCCTTCCGGTATTCAACAAGCATATGCGGGTACATAGCCAGCAACGTCTTGCAGACCAGATCTTCGATGTTAGCCCACATGACAGACGTATTGCTTCCTGTTTATGCATGATACGTGGCTAAAGTGAGTCTTTGTCTCATGAAGCTTTTTTTTTTTTTTTTTTTTTTTTCGAAAGTGGCCAAAGAGGTGGCAGAGACGCATGAGCAGATGTGCAGACAGCAGCTCTTGTTCTGACCTTCGGCGGCAAGTGTTTCCATGACCGAACTCAGCAAGCGCTTGCTGCCGCCTTCGTCATCGTCGTCGTCATGATCGTCAGGATTGTCATTGTTGTGAGACGCTTTGCCAGCTTGCCTCTTTCCATCGCGCGCGCGGTCGCTCGGGACAGCTGACGAGATGTCTGAGTCGTTATCATCGGTCGTGGCGGCTTCTGTATGTACATAGTTGTCTGAGCGCTTGTTGAGGCTAAAATTTGTCAAATGCATGAAGATCTCATCCATGTTTTCTGGCGTGGGTCGTGCATAGGGCGTAGTACACAAGCGTGCCATGCCTTCTCGGTGCAAGTACGCCTACATAGGGCAGCGGGGTCCGTGAGAGAGAGAGAGAGAGAGAGAGAGAGAGAGAGAGAGAGAGAGAGAGAGAGAGAGAGAGAGAGAGAGAGAGAGGCCTAGCAACTTACTCGAAAAGGTTCCAAGCTTTGAATGAAAACGTAGAGGCGCATGTCAAACTTGAAGCCGTCAAGCAGAAGAGGATTAGCCACGTAATCTTGCACAACGTGAGAGCGCCGCATTCGACGCAAACGAGCGTCATGCGGATCGGTAATGAGGAAAATTCCGGCGCCTTGTCGCCCATCGTTGGGCTTCACAATGTAGAAGCGTTGATATGAGGTGGGGTGAGTGGCCTCACGATGTGCGTGGTCTTGTTGGAACTGGGCCAGTTGCTCGGGGAGGTGCCAGGTCTGAGGCATGAAGCGAAATGATTCAGGAAAAAGGCGCTGCTGTGCAAGGATGACATCCGCAAGCGGCGACTTTTGCGATAGCTCATAAAGGCCCGGCATGCGTGAAACCCAGGAGCCCGCACTGGGGTTCGCCCACAGCACATCTTCCCAGTCGCCACAGCACCAAAATATGCATGCAAAATGCCCTCCGCGGAAGGAAAATTCTTTCAGGCGTCCAAGTTCGGCTAAACGGCGAAGGACACCCTTGGATGTACGAGCACCACTGGTGTTGATGCTGTATCGGCGGCGAAAGTCATGCTGGAAAGACTTGAAGCGATCAGCCCCGATCAACAAGCCCGAAGCTGGATGGTAGCGTGCGAGGGCAGCTCGGTTGAAGCGAGCCTTCATGAGGGATGAGTATCTCCCATGCAGAGCGGGTGCGGCGGCTAGCGATGGTTCAGTGGTTTCAATATCGTCCACTGCCGCGACAAGTAAGCATGGCTGGCCATTGGGCTTAGTCGAGTCCTGCGCTGGCGCTGCCAAGGTTTGGCCAGAGTTTGAGGAAGGCTTTTTTGATCGAGAGAGAGCAAGGCCAGCATCAGACGAAGCATCCACGGCCACCTCAGCAGCAGCAAGAACGGCAATGTCTTTCTTGTGCTGGCTGTTCGTAGAGCTGCTGGAATGCAGCAGAATGGCATCATCATTGGACGTCATTTCCGAAGCCACATTCAGTAGACCGTTCATTGAGGCCATTGGTGTGTGCCGCACGGACGTTGAATCAAGCTGAGCCTCCGTGGCCCTCAGTTTAGTATGCACGGTAGGTGGGGTAGAAGCGGTGTGTTGCGGGTTTGCTCGCTCCAACTTAGGAGATGCAGACATGTGCGATTCCTGCGATGAGGTGGCTGACTTCAGTCTGGTGCCGCTGTTGGTCGCCTTGCGTTTAACGCTTCTGGCAGCACGGCTAGGGCTACCCGGTGTTTGGGGCTGAGCAGGCGCGTTGCTCATGTTCTTGGAAGATTTGGTGGCTGGGCGACGGCGCGAGGGTGTTTCACCTCTGGTGGAGGCAGTGGGCGTTGATGGCGCAGAAATGTCCAAAAATGCTGATTCGTTTCGCAGCGAGCTTTGAGTCGAGGTTCTGATGCGCTCGGACCGTAATTGTGCAGCTCGCGTCATGCGCACTCGAGGAGTGCGTGGGCTGCGGTTGGTCACTTGATCACCTGTTGAATGTAATTCTGTTGGTGTCGAAGCGCCTGACGCATCCAGGAGTGTTCGCTTGACATTGCGTTGGACAGTGTTTGGGGTGCCTGCCTCTTTTTGCTTGGCGCGGACGGGTGATATGGCCTAGTGCAAGCAGGCCGCAGCGGTGATGCAACACAATGGGTGAGTGTCACGCGAGCGAGTACAGTGAGCCAAAGAGCGTGGCAAGGCTGCCGGGACACTGCCATGCGTACTTTTTTGCTCTTGCTCGTTGAGCGAGTTTTGACAGGTGCTGATGTGTCTCTTGGGGGTGTGTGGGCGTCATTTGAGCCCGCGGAGTAAAATGGGCTGTCCTTGGAGACGCCTAGATCACGCGCCGATGCTTCTGGTTCAGCTGCTCCAAAACGCACAAGCAGAAGTCAGTGAGTCAACACGCGTAAACTTGCACTTTCTTTTGAAGCATCGCCAAGCGATCGAGGCGTGAAAAGGACTGCATGCATTGCTGACTCGCTTACGAGCAATAGAAACTGGTGATGCGTCTGGATGCCGTGCAACATGAGGGCGCTGTGAATGATGAGGGGGGGCAGGTGTTGGGGCCAGTTTGGCCTCGCTCGCCGGTGCTGTTGGTTGTGTAGAGTCCTTCTCAGCCGATTCAAGTGACTCGGATTTTGGCGGAGAAGCTGGTGCTTCTGGTAGAACCAGCTCAAACTTTGGCAGGGGAGCTGAAGCTTCAGGAAGGGCGAGCCCAGGCTTTGGTGAGGAGGTTGGTGATTCTGGTAGAGCCGGCTCAGGCTTTGACGGAGAAGCTGGTGATTCCGGTCGAACCAGATCAGACTTTGGCAGGGGAGTTGGAGTTTCAGAAAGGGCCAGCGCAGGCTTCGGCGGGGAGGTTGGTGCTTCTGTTAGAGCCGCCTCAGACTTTGGCGGGGAAGCTGACACAGATTCTGGCAAAGCTGATGGAGAATGTGCCGGTAGAGGTGGCGCCGAGTCTGACAACGATGCAAATGGGTCTAGCGAGAGCGCCTCGGATGGGGGGTCCGTCTGCACGCTCGCGTCTACGAGGCGAGCACGTTTCTCTTCGAGCGCTGCGAGAAGGGCTGTTAGGGCTTGTTTCGGGTGATCGGCCAGTGTTGCTGGGAGGACACCAGCAATGCCACTGGCGGTTTCGAGTGCCGATACAACCTCTGCCGTTGTAAGCGCGGGGTGTTCGGTTTGTGTTTCGTCGAGCTCCAGGTCGGTCGGGGCTGCCAGGCTTGAACTACCAGCTGCCACGGTCATGGGACTGTCCGCAACAAGCTGGGCAGCAGCATTTGGAGTATTCAAAACGGGTGTCACATCTGGTGATTGTACGCGCTCAACAGGCGCCTCCGCCGCATCAGCATCGGCGGCGAGCGTGTTAGCTTGATCTTCATCAGCTGGGGGGTGTGGCGGCTCATGCATATCTCCAACTACGCCTATCGCCGGTGCGGAGAAGAGCGGTTGCGCGCAAGAGTGTGGTGGCGTCGACGCTGTAAATAAAGCGTCCTCACCAGGAACAGTCGGCGTGGTTTGAGAGCGGCCCGAAGCTTGGCCGTGACTTGAGGGTGGCACATCCTCAAGTTGCAACCCAAGATGTGGCTTGGTACCTGCTGGTTGGTTTTTGGTTTCGTCTTTCAGTTTGGGTCCATCATCATGTGGCGCATGGGCCCAAGTGTCTGCGGGGGCTGTCAAGGAAAGAGGAGGGTGTTCTGGGGCCGCCTCGGTCGGGGTGTGATGGGTCGCGTGCGTATGTACGGGAGGCGAAGTTTGAGGGGCGCTTGTGAATGATGGTGAAAGCCCCAAAGCTGGTGCCTCAAGTTGCTGCAAACTTTCTACAGCAACCTCATCTGCGGCGGCGGCGTGGGAAGGAGCCACGGGCTTTGTGGGCGTTGCTGTTGGGCTGTCGGAGCTACTGGCGAGGTCCTCATGCCGGTGAGGTTGCTCTTGAACGGTTGGCAAGGGGGCGGACACCGAAAAGGAATGGGTCTTGTCCTCAAGGTAGGCAGGTTCATGCCAAGCCACATCGAGGTCGGAGACAGAAGAACTCGTGCTTGAACGTCGATTGAAATCCAAACTGCCAGCTGAAACTGGCAAAGCAGCCGCCCCATCTCCCTCTGTCTTGTTGAAGGGCAAGGATGCCTGGGGCAAGGATGCCTGGGGCATGGTTGCAGGTGGTTCTGTCTTGTCTAAGTCTCTGTGCTGGGGTTGCCCCAGTGCTGATGCCTAGCAAAACAGCTAGTTTTAAGGTGCCTGAGAGCTCGGCAGAGGGGAAATTGAGCTACGACTGCAGGCTTGCAGAGTGGCGGGCAGGGGTGCAATTCGTGGCCAGCTATTTGCCGAAGACTCACCGCTTAGGATTGCGTCACCATGGTGTGAGGTGTGATACGACGCCTCCTCTGGTATTCCAAAGTCACGTACAGACTGTCTGGCAAGCAATAGCCCGGTCTTGGCAGCCTCGCCACTGAGTCAAGCAACGGTCCAGCACATCGAACGAAATTCAAAAAGTTGTCTGCAAATTTTCAAATGAAAAAACTGATCTTGTGAATTTTCGTCTTACGTTTCTTGTTTTGTGGCATCAAAAAAAAAAGAAAAAAAACAACAACAACAACAAACTGCTTGGGTAACATGTCGTGCTGCAGGTGAGCAGGTGGCACGGCCGTGGGCAGAAGATGTGTTTGTGGAGTGCTGGTGCATCTGCTTTCGAGTTTTCATTGGCATGCGGTGATGTGGAGCGTGGCGCCTGTCACTGCAACAAGATGCTCTTGTCATTAATTGTGTTCTTATTGTCGTCTTGTTCCTCTTGGTACGGTGCTCGCAACACCCGCTATGGGTCGAGTGCTGAGTGCGTTGGGGTAGAGAACACACACTACTTGCCAAAGGAGAAAGCGCACAAGCCTTCAGACCTCGTGAGAAGGGAATTATTCTTGAACGGAGGCCGCCTGCTTGTCCTCAATACGGTTGTCTTCGAGAACCACACGGTTGGTGTTGCCCAAAGGCCCTGCCATGTACCCAATACGTGAATGGTGGTGAGCATGCGCGAGGCCTGGTATCTGGGCTGGTACGCCTGCATACTTGGAGAGCAGCAGCGGAACCGACCTTGGAGATCCGCAAACAGGTAGCGCATGGTGGGCTTGCCACTTGCAGGTTTCTTCATCTCAAGATGCACCACACCTCGAGCACGGTCACCCTTGATTTCATAGCGCATGCGCGTGTAGGTTGTGCCATCCACCACGTACTCTTGCATCCTAGAAGAGCGCACAAAAAAATTAAGGAACGGTATGGGGAGGAAATGCCCGAGTTGCTGCACGGGCCTGCATTTCCATTCATGGGCTGCTGGAAGACAGCGCGCCAGCGGACTAACCTCCAGGGCTTGTTGGGGCCCTTCATCGAGCCAACAAAGGTAACGGCATCACCGAGTGCCAGACGCACCTAATAAGAGCAGAGCACCGGGGCATGGCTGAGTGAGAGGGCCGCGAGTACTCTGACGTGCCAGTACTCAAGCGCAGTCTAACAGCCAACCTCTTCATCATTTGTAATGCGCTTGAGGGAGCGCTCGAAAAACTGTTCGGGGCCATCGCGAAAGACGAGCTCGGAAACGACAGAGTATAGGAGATAGCCTGAGTCAAGCACCCAAAAAACAACGTCAACACCAACAACGTCCCATCAAATGCTTTCAAAGCTCATTGGCGGGATGTTTGAAGCAGGTCAACCGCGACAACATACCACAAAGCGTGAGACCAGCGCCAATGACAAGGGCCGAGCCGCTGTCCTTGCCACCCTCAACCACTAAACATGGTGAGAAGCGATGAGTCGTCAACGAGCAGCTTTGGTGTTGGTAGATACGAACACCTGGTCGGCGGGAAAAAGGCACACAGAGCACGGGCGCGCACTGTGATATCTAACCTTTCTCAGCAGGTGTGAGCTGGGCCCAAGTCTTGGTGCCCTCGACCAAAGAACCCTCTGATTGTGCCGTGCGTTTCGCACCCTGTTGCACAATGATCACGCAGATGAGTGATGATGAGGAGAGGGAGGAAGGGGGCCCAAGGCCTCACAGCAAAACAAGGCGGAAATACAGCAAGAGAAGGTGCATATTGTCGTGCAGTCGAGGATGCTGGAGGCAGTGGCGTGCGTGCGTGCAAACGCATACAGTCAAGGTCCAACACACCTGCACTGAGGTACTCTCGGATCGTGCAGCTTGGCCGAGACGAGTTGCGCGGGGCGTGAACCATCCGCGTGCGCTGAGCGCAGGGCTTTGCAAGGCGACGCGCGCACGGCGCAAGAGCATTTGCGAGGCCGACATGGTTCTGGCAGCTAGAAAAGAAAAAGAAAAAATTGCAGGGTGCTCAAGGTCAGCAACTCAGTCAAAGAGTACGCTCTACCCCCTTCCCTTTCCAAAAACAAGGACGCCGGCGCCAGGGACAAGACAGCTGCCACAAGAGCCACTGCCGCATGCCCTGCTGGCCCAGCTGCTACAGTCATCCAATGTTATCTCGTACCTCAAAGAGAGAGAGAGAGAGAGAGAGAGAGAGAGAGATGAAATACGAGAAATGGATTTCACAGCAGAGAAACAAAGAACAGAGCATAACACGAGTTTGTGGCTTCAGTCGTTCTGCTTTGACTCTTGGTAGCACATGATAAGAGAGAGAATAGAGAGAGAGAGGAAAGGCATAAACAGCAAAGGGAGACACAGAGAGGCGGGATTGTCAGACGAAGACGTGCTACCAAATGTACCAAACAGTTGGTAGTGCTGTCTGCGCCGACTGAACCTTTTTCTTTTTTTCGGGGGGAAACGGCGGCATCGTGATCTAAAACTGGGTCGGCTCATTCCTGCCTGACCTTTTACATTTGATCGCTGGCAGACCACCCGCAAGTGTGCAAGTGGAGGATCTGTCTGGTCGCATTCCCGTTCTGTTGTGTCGAGTGCAGCCACCTGCCTTTTTTGGCGTTTCGAGCGCGTCGACGACAGCGCTCGCCACAATCAGCCAGCAACACAGCAAGGCCGAGTGTTGGTGTGCACTCTCCTCGTGCTTGCTGGTGTCTCTGCCTTCAACGCGAGCCAGGGCTGGGTCAGCATTCCTGTCATCGTTTCTGCGACCTTCTGTTTTTCACAAGACCCATCATGATGGATGTCCCACCCTCACCCACCATTTATATCAAGAATCTCAACGACAGGATCCAGAAAGAAGGTTGGCGCAACTTGCTTCCGAAACTCCTCTTTCCCCAGAGTGACGGTGGCCCCCTTGTGCGCAGCACCGCATTCTTCCAAGGCGGAGCCATGTTCAAACCTGCCCGTCCAACCAGCAGCTGATCCTGTCTTTTCGCCTCTTTCCCTGCTCTGACAAACGTGGCAATAGAGTTGCGCCGCACGCTCTACGGCCTCTTCTCCCAGTTTGGTGGCATTCTCGATGTCGTGGCTCTCAAGACCAACAAGATGCGCGGCCAAGCCTTCATCGTCTTCAAGGTTTGAACAAGGCATTGCCTCCATGGACTCAACCTAAGAGGCAACTTACTCAAGTACCCTTCGCATTGCTCCTTCTGCCATGCTAGGATGTGGGCTGTGCAAGCAACGCTCTTCGTTCCATGCAAAAGTTTCCCCTGTTTGATAAGCCCATGGTGAGTGTGTGCACAGCCTGGCGCTTACCGTGCTCTCACGTCGATGGATGACGAGCTGCTACATTTGGTGCCACTTATTGCAACTATGACCCGCCTTTGCAGTCAATCCAGTACGCCAAGGCAAAGTCATACGCCACCATGAAGGAGGACGGTACCTTGCAAAAGCACCTGGCACAACAGCGCAAGGCCAAGCAGTCGAGCGCAGACACCAACGGCGAGCCGCGTATGTTTTTGCACGTGCCTTCACGTCGCCACACTGCCATGTTCAGCCCGCCCCCAGAGTCTCAATGGGCTTGCCTCATTTCTGTTTCTCACCTCCGTTTGCTTTCTTTTCCTTTCTTGCATATCTTTCCACTTGAAAACCTGTTGCCGCGCACCCGCTCTGTATATCATTCGATGCTTCTGCAACCACAGCCGCCAAGATGATCAAGATGACGCCTGTTGCAACTGCATCCGAGGGTACGAACCAACATGCCCTTTTCAATACAGCTCATTCTCTTTTCAGTATGAGTGGCCATCCATCGGCAGCGTCTCACAAAAGGCGCTGGTCTCATGCCTTTCGGGCCATATCTCAGGAACCAACAACACGATTGTGTACTGTTCCAACTTGCCGCAAGAAACGACCAAAGAAATGCTCTTGGCTCTCTTTGGCGAGCTCAAGGGTCTGGTCGAGGTGCGATCGTTATTGGTTGCCTTGCATGCCTGTCCTGATGGTGTGCTACGCCGCTTACGACCAAAACCCCATCTTTTCATTCGCTAGGTGCGCTTGGTTGAGGGCCGACCAGACATTGCCTTTGTCGAGTTTTCCACAGAGCAAGAGGCCGGCATTGCCATTAGTGCGTTGGATGGCTTCCAGGTCGATGCTGAGCACAAGATGTCCGTAGCTTTTGCCAAAAAGTAAACGCAAAAAAAAAAAGAAACCGAATAAAGCCCAGAGCTTCCACCTCACTCAACACGAATTCAACTGAGTTTTTTTTTCAACAGGCGTATGGGTGACACGGCGGCTTACCAAGCTTGACAAGGACACGTTTGATCCAGCTCAAAAAAGAGGAGAGCGATGAGAGAAGAACATGCATGAGAAAAGTGTTCAGAAGAAGGGAGAGATTAAATTGTTGAAACGAAAAGCAATTCGTCGGCGTGATGAACATTTTGTTGCTCGTCTTCAAAATTGTCAATAAAAATCAAGCTCTGGGCCACCGTCAGTAGGTGCTGGGTGACTAGGTCGGGCTAAGGGGGCGGAGGCTTCCCTGTGGCTGGGTCCGCTCCGAAACACCATTGTCGCTCGGCGCCACGCCACTCACTGCCAGCATGGAGCGGCGGAATCGGTTTGGGTTCCGGCGCAGCGACCCTCGACTGCCCATGTACCGAGATGATGCGGATGGCAAAAACAAGGTCCGTGATTGCGTCTGGGCTGCAGGGATTCAGTCCGTTGAGCAACGCCATTTCTCCGACTTGCTCGATAGCGTCCACTCAATCCGGCGTGGTGTGCTGTGTGACAGCGCAAAACGCTTCTCGGCAGACCAGTGCGCCTCGCACTACTTGCGGTTGTTGTCATCGCGGTTGTCTTTTTAAGCCTCCAGCTCTTCTCGTACGATACAGTGGTGGACGGCGAGGCAACCCAGCAAGCCGTTGCGCCACAAGACAATAACAACCACCCAGGTAGACTGCGTCATTTTGGGTCCATCCTCTTTTGCTGCAGCCACACGATCATTCTCACCTCAAGCCTGGCCTGCCGTTGGGTTTCCTTTGCAGATGATGACGTAACTCGACACGAGGCGACTGGGAAAGGCGGGGCGGAAGTGGAGCCAGCAGCAGAACCAGAACCAGAAGAAGCAGCAGAACCAGAAGCAGAAGAGCCAGAAGCAGCAGAACCAGAAGCAGAAGAGCCAGCAGCAGAGCCAGCAGCAGTAGCAGCAGTAGAAGAGCCAGCAGCAGAGCCTGCAGCAGAACCAGCAGCAGCAGAACCAGCAGCAGAACCAGCAGCAGAACCAGCAGCAGAACCAGCAGCAGAACCAGCAGCAGAACCAGCAGCAGGAACAGCAGCAGAACCAGCAGCAGAACCAGCGGCAGAACCAGCGGCAGAACCAGCAGCAGAACCAGCAGCAGAACTCCCGGTAGCAGGAGTCGAACAAGAGGCATTTGAGACGGCACCGGGTATGGGTACACTAGAAGCAGACCCACCTGCGCAAGTGCACATCCCTGGTGGTGGCATGGCTGCTAGCAGGGTGGAGCCAGCACCAGACAGCGTGCAACAGCAAGAGCTGTTCGAGCCAGTGATAGAGGCTGCCACCCACCCGAGTGACTTGCCCGTGGGCGAATCACGCAGAGAACCGGTTCAAGAACAGGAAATGGCGCACCAGGAACAACAGCCATCGGTGAATGAAGAACTCGTACGGGACATCACGGCGCTCGGTCCTGGGCAAGAAGCAGGACTGGAAGCAAACGGCGCGAATAGCAATGTGCAACAAGAGCAGCCCGAACCGGCAGCACCCGCACCGGCAGCACCCGCACCGGCAGCACCCGCACCGGAACAGGTTCTAGAAGCGCGACACCCCGAGGAGCTTGAGGTGCAGGAAGAGGTAAAAAAAGTGCCAGCACGACCCGAGGCACCCGAGCTGGAGGCTGAGCAGCCAGTGCCACCAGTGGACGACGAGTTGCCAGCCGCTGTGGCAAATATTCAGGAGGCCGAGGCACCAGTTGACTCCGAACAGACTGAGCTCACTGCTGAGGAGCGTCTCCGTGTGACGCGAGGTCAGCAGACAATTTTCCTCACTTTACTGGTCATCAATCATGCTTACTGCCTGTCGTCTTCATTGACATGACTCGCGAGCCATCGGAGGCCATGTCTGATGCCTGGTTGTTTTCTGTTGCAACATTAGGTCTGACACCAGAGCAAGCGCCTTTGTACCTGGGTGGTCAACTCCGATGCCCCATGAATGGGGTTGATACCGTCGTGGACTTAGCTCGTATCAACGACGCGTTTTGCGATTGCGATAACAGCATCGGTTCGTTTGACCCACGTTGGGATTGGTTTTTGGATTGTTGGGGCAGAGCGCTCGTCGTTTCATCCCTGCAGTTGCTCATGTTGCGTGTTTGGGGTGTTGCGTCTGTCTGGGTGTTTAGATGAGCCGGGCACGGCGGCATGTGCAGCGCGGGAAGGTGCCACAGGCTTTTGGTGTGGCAAGGACAATAAGCGAATCTTAGCGTCTCGGGTCAACGACGGGGTTGCCGATTGCTGTGATTGCAGCGATGAGTGGGAAGCAGAGACGCCGTGCGTTGCTTCAAATCCTTGCCCAAGCCGCTAAAGGACTTGTGAATGTTGACCTCCAACCTAGGCCATTTCAGTGCCGCTCTTCCAAACGGCAATGTGCTCGATGATGATGCTTGACACGTAAGGCAAACACCAAGTCACGCCCAGATGGAAAACGAGACCACGGAAACACTTTTTGAATGATGTCGGCTAAAAGTTGATTAAGTTTTGATGAACAAAAATACATCATCCGACTGATCAGCGCTTTTGATGTCGCAGAACCCCGCCCTGGGATTCGAAAACAAAACACAACAACACGAAAAGCCAAGACTGGAATGCGCACAAAAAAAACGGGACAGAGAATTTCAAGAGGTGAATATCAAGCCTAGTAAAAGGGCAGTGTACGATTGCAACATGCCCGGTGCTGCGTTGGAGCACAGAACGCGATCCACTTGTCTGCGAGCCCCTTTGTCAACAAATCGATTTGCTGGTGAGCTACGCAGCGTGAACTCAAAGCACACGGCTTTGACGATCTATGAGATGGTACAGCATGATCGTTTCTTGTTGCTGCCAGTCCCGGACGGAACCAAGGGGGTGGTGTCAGATGAAGCGTCGACCATATTGAGTTTGCTGGAGCGGACGCTTGAGGGGGTGGTGGCGTAGCCCAGCGGCTCGCGACGATTCGCGCTGGTTGCAGGTTTGACGCCCTATCCACCAAGGCGCCAGCGAGTGATGAGCGTAGGCTCGTGAAACAAGGAAAAGCAGACCGCCCTTGCAGCTCTTGCACGAGAATCGGGGTTCAGTAGCGACGGGCACTGGACCTGAGGGATGGCAGGCAGTTGCCTTCGTCGGCGCTCTGCCGATGCGGGGGCGGTGTTTGGGCTGCTGTGTTCGCTACCACCGTGTCGAGTGCTCTTTCGCTTGCGCACAGGTTTGGGCGGTGGTGTCCCATCTGTCAAAGGACGGTAGGCGTCCGAGGTGAGGGCGAGGCTCATTGTGAGGTGCTGCGCGAGCCACACAAGGATGCGGGCGGCGGCAAGCACTGACCCATGGTGCTTGTCAATGTAGCTCTTGGCGGGCGACGCTCTGTGAATAGTGGGTTAAGGACGGGGCGCCGTTGACTGGGATCGAGTGTCAATGATGATATGGCACGCCAATGGGACCAGATTTTGACCACGGGATGCAGGCGCTGCCGCCGACGGGTGTCAGGCCTGCTGGGTCATGTGATGCCGAAGCCGCAAAAGGCTTGCTTGGCGCGTTCTTGTCGATGATAAACCAAATTTTGACCAGGATCAGGGGTCAATCCTACATGCAGAGGTAAAACAGGTGCATAGTATCGCTCGCCTGCCCCTCTTTGATCCCGGTGTCAAGCTTCGGTCGGCGGACCCGTGCACGAGATCTAGACAGGACGCGGCGTCGTTCTGCGCGCTCTGCTGCGCTCTGCTGCGCTCTGGAGTCGAAAGAAAAGGCAAGGCCGATAAATTAAAAATACGGGGAGAAAAAGTTTATGAAAGGGAACAGTGTCTGACAACTCGAAGACTGTCCGATGGTAGCAAAATTTATCTGACAAGCAGTTGCCGAATGCGACACTGCGTTGATCGGCCTGGCGAGGAAGCGTAACGTTGGTCACATTATACCACAAAGGCGACTGATAGGTTGGGGGTGGCTGGCTGAACAAGAAATGTCAGAATATAAAGTTCGTGAAGAATAATTATGGGAAGATGAAGAACGTAATGGGGGTCAATGGTATATTGATGCACGACTATATCGGGTTGTTTACCAACGTTTCGATCCGTGGCGCCACTTGCCACACACTGTTTATGCACTTACACACGCGTTTTGACTGCTAAAAATCACACACACACACACACACACAGAGCGTTTTGATCAAATTTCATCAAGAGAACAAAAGAACGAATTTGCCTGACTGATGGTCGATGTGCTGCTGGCTGGCTGGCTGGGCACGCATTTGCTTCTGCGGGAGGCAAGGGGGAGGTAACTCGGATCCGGCCTTGACAAAGCGCAAGTGCGACGTCCCGTTGAAGCTATCATTTTTTTTTCTCTCTTTTCGTCTGTCTCTTCGATGACATCAAATTGTTGACTGATCGGTGGGCGGAGGCACCCCAAGTTTGTGAAGGTGCCACGAGGAGCTCGGTCGGCAGCTCAGCAGGTGAGGCGATCCATACCTAGAAGAGCGGTGGCGGCCTGAGACGCTTGAAGGCCATTGGCATCAATGTCCATGCGGGTGTGATGACCTCTCTTGCCCCAATCATCGGCTCTCGATGGCACTGATCACCACGTTGCTGCATTTGGGTTAGCGGGTAGGCTTGACACACACCTCCACAGAGCCGGCCTTTGGCTTCACGCAGGCGCGAGGGACCCTCGCCCGCTATCATTGCCATGGCGTCCAGCTACTCTCGTTCCAAAGGTGTGTTTTCTTATCAAGCATGCCTAGTCAGCTCAACACTTGAACTGTGCCCTCTTGGTTGGGAGCGGCGTGAAGCAGCAGCTTCCCCTCAACCCGCCCATTGCCTTGTCCTGCGATAGGGCCTGGTAGCTCGGCCGGCGATTTTCGCGACATGCTGCTTGCCCAAGATGAGAATAAGGATCATTGTTTGCCGCAACTCCTTCGGCGTGCTGGCTCCTATGAGCATCTCGACACCTTTGATGCCTTTAAAGAGGGCGAAGCTCGGCTTCGTCAGCTGGGTATTGCCAAGGCGCTCACCATCAATGCGGATGCTACACACTTTGGTGTATTTGAATGGCCCACGGGATCGAGTTACATTGGCGAGATCAAGGAAAGTGAGGCACATGGCCTTGGCATGCGCCTTGGCGCCGATGGTTGGATCTACAGTGGTGCTTGGATTCGTGGCAGCAAAGTATGTCACCACGCCGGCCTCCTCTTGAGCCTGAACCATGGCTTTGGACGGGAAGCGAGGATCGTCTCAAAACTCACCTTCCGTCATGTGTGATGTAGCATGATGTTGGTGTCTTTGTTTGGCTTGATGGCCAGCGCTACTTTGGTTCCTGGGTGGGGGGTCAGCCCTCTGGTGCTGGTGTTTTGCTGCAAGACGCTGGTACGAATTTGCATACCTCATCAATGAAGGGGCGCCCCTATCACCTCTTGTGACAACGGACAGCTTGATGGTGGTGGTCGAGATTACACGCAAAAAGTTTGCTCAAACAAAGTATCTTTGGTATCTTTGTCCTTGACCTTTGTCTTTTGTGTAGACAAGCGCATCTACGCTGGCGAATGGCGTGCCGGCCTACGCAGTGGGCACGGGTGCCAAGTATGGCTCAAAACTGGTGTGTCTAGTGCTGCCCTCTCCCCTTGTTCATTGTACTCGGCCTGCAAACTGCGAGCGTCTGGCAGTTTGAGATCAAAGGCCCCGCCACCGAACTAACTGGAAAAGCCCGCCCGTTCTCTTCGCGCATGATGTGACCACCAGGTCGGGTGTACAAGGGTGTGTGGAACGATGGCCAGCCTGAAGGCTTTGGCGTGGAGACGTATCGCGATGGTATGTCCCACATCTTGATTGCAAAGCACGCCATTGCGTGATTAGGGTCCAGGGACCATTCTAATCGTGGTCGCTGCTCTCGGCTGCAGGTGGTTATTATCGAGGCCTGTGGAAGGGAGGCCGCCGACACGGTTTTGGTGAGCGCTACTGGCCGCCTGTGTACAACGAAAAGGGCGAGATTGTGCGTCACCCTGAGGTGTACACGGGCTCGTGGAAAAATGATCGCAAAAGCGGCTTTGGACGCATGGTACGTGGACAATGACCGTGGCCTGCGCGTCAACACGATTGCGAGAGCTGATCTCCAAAATGACCCCACGTGCTTCCTCATCCCTTTTCGCCTCTCTTTCCTATACTGTCGTAGGAGTTTGCAAATGGAGCCGTGTATGAGGGGCAATGGGTGGGAAACCGACGCAATGGCTTGGGTCGACTCAGTCGTGGCACGCTGGCGCGCTGCGGCAAGTGGTCCAATGATGAGTTGAGTGTGCCTCTCAAGGCCACTGCAGGCAAGGTGGGTGCTGCGCTATCTCAGCGTTTCATCACCGCAGAACATCGAGCTGTCGCTGTTCTCAAACACGGCCAGGTGTAAGGCAAGCCGGGACGTGTAGTTTTTTCTTATTTCTTGCTCATACTTTTTTTTTTTCTTTTTTTTTTTTTCCCTTTCTTCAAGATTTTGGACGTTCTACATCAGACCAGCAAGGACGTGGACACGGCCACCCGTCGCGCCACCATCAGTCTGCAACAGGCCTTGTCTGCTGAGGCGGCGGCCGAAGACGCGCGGCAGCGTCACTTTGAGGCAGCTGAAAACGCACAGCGCGCGTTGACGCTGGCCAGCGTGTGCCTTCGGATTGAGCACTTGTGCGGTCCCGAGTCCAAATTGACTGAGGAGCAAGTACAAATACTACAAGCTCGGTTTCCTCCAGCGGGCCGTTTCCAGCCCCTCGTACTGAGCCGGTATGCGCTTTGATGTTGTTTCATGGCCACGGCGACGCATGTCGGCGACAGCGGGTTCTTGTGATGGTTTGGCCACGTACGATATTCAGGCTCATGCGTGTTACATTGTGGCTGAGTGCTTTCCAGGTGGTTTGACTTTTTGGCTCAACACGAGCGCGAGAAACACGATCATGCGCTGGGGTTGGGTACCGTCAAAATATTGGCGCCCGTTGAACAGGCCCCGACTCCAAGCTCCACGGTGCACAGCAAGATAATCATCTCCAGTGTCTCCGAGCCATGGTGGCAGCGACACGAGGGCTGGTTCATCGCCTGTGTTGCGCTCTTGGCGTCATCCCTGATTGTCTTTGCCTGAAGCTTGCGCTTGGACGCGTCTGCTTCAATTGTCTGTTCCGCCCATCCAAAGGCGAAGCAATACTCATGCTCAGAGAGTTTCCACCCTGTGAAAGGACTGTCGGTCAAGGGTATTTTTCTTTTGCACATCCCATCGTCCAAGGCGATGTGTGGATTGTGCGTGGCTGTGCTGCATCTCCCTTCTGTCTGCTCTCCTTTGAGTCTACTTTTTGGTGTTCGATTCTTACCTTGACTTCGTTTAGCAAAAGATATTTGTTTTTTTTAGTCGATGCCGTAATCAAATTTTTAATTTTTGACTCGAGTCTGTGCATGTCACTGTGGAGCTGCTGTGCCACAATTGTCAGACAAACACATTTGGCTACCAACTGTCATTTGCAACACGGTTTGACAACGTGTTATATCATTCCAAGGGAATCAAGCTTAAGCGGAGCGTTCTGGTCTGGTGCCTCATACGAAGGCCGTGCGCGGAATGGCACCAAGTCCGCCTCGATGGGCAGTGGGAACGGGGACGAGCTTCTGGCTCTTTGGTGGTCTGGCCAAGGAGCGCAGCGATGAGTCAAGTGAGAAGGGGATACAAAAGGAGGGGTGGGGAAGAAGAGGAGAAAGGTCAGGTCTGTCAGTGTGTGTTCTGTTCATCTCTGTCTCTGTATAGTGTCTCTGTATCCGTCTCTGTCTCTTGTCTCTGTCTCTCTCAATTCTCTCTCACTTTCACACACCAAATCGCCGTTTTTTTTTTTCTTTTTTTTCTTGTTTTTGGATGTTGTGTCGTGTTTTTTTTTATTGACCGAGGGGTTGAATATTTGGGGGAGGAGAGGTGATTCAAGAAGCGGGGGAGAGCAGGTTGTGGGCGTTGGCCTGCTCGCTCGAACAGGACTGCTGGTGTGGGTTCTGGATTTGAGTCAGGTGTTGGTGTGCAACGGGGATTGACCAGGTTGTCTAGCCATTGTTACCTCCCGCTGGCTCGGCCCCGCACCGACTCGCCGCCGCTACAGCTGTAAATCGTCGCTCGCAACCGGGTCTGATGGATTCGATGGATGCGTCGGATGAGCTCGGGCACCCCGTTGCCAGCGAGGCTCGGGATCGTGCCCGGCAACGGCTGGCCCAAGGCAACAAATGGATCGTCTGGGACGACCGCCAAGAAACCTTAACACACGATGCCAGCGGACGTCTAGCCTTTCCTCGTGCGTTGTGCAGCCTCGATTCGGAACCCCCCCCCACCTTGTTGCTTCACCGGCGTTCGGCTCTTCTTTTTAGATCCCTGATTGGGTGTCAAGCGTATCCACCCGCTCACCATAGAGTGTACTTGAGCCTCATCTCGGTCTTGCATGCCTGCTAGGTGTGGAGGAAGCTGTCACGGCAGCTCGAAGTGAGGAGGGCTGCCTTGGCGTCTATGTTGCTCATCTTGCCAATAAGGAGGACTGGAAAATGCGCCTCTTTGATCAAACACAGCCCTTGCCGTGTGGCAAGCTCTCGTGCGCCGGATGCATGCGTGCCAATAGTACGTGCGCCCAAGCAAACTCACCACACCAATGATGCCGAGCGCCCAATTTGTGAATGCACCTTTCTTCCTCGAGGCTCGGGTGAGCTCGAGATGGGATTGACTCGTGATGCATGCTTCTCACTTTCTCTCTTTTGTCTTTTATTCTCGATGCGCTCGGACAATGTGCTGACAGATCTCAAAAACTGCCCAACCCCTGGCTGCAAGAGTCGCATTCGCAAGGCACAGCGCAAGGCCTGTTCCATGTGCGGCAAATTGCCGTCCAATTCCGGTCCCGCTGTCATTGATAGCCCCGAGGCATATGCCAAGGCCATTACTGATGTCAAGAAACATCTTGAAAAGGTATCAATCCTGAACCTTGTCTGGCGCATAACAACCTGCCTCGCCACCAACAGCTTGGTGACCCTGCAACAGTCCTCAGTCACTTGTGCCGCTCTTTGCCATCGCACCCTCGTCGCCTTGGTGCTCAGATTAAAACTTTGATGGACAATTTGAACGCGACACGTCAGGGATCCCTGTTTGCTTTTCACCTTCTGATCAACCCTTGGTCCGGCGATCGACTCACAGCCGTGGATCAGCGAAAAAGAGAAAATGGCGTTGTCATGTCCGGCTGGTACGGTGACTGCACCTCACTTCCTGCCGAGGCTCTACATCGGCGCGACGGCCGCATCAACATTCACCCAAAGGACAAGGAGCGTATCAATCACTTTGTACACCGTGACAACATCTTCACCTGGGCCATGCTCGTGGCGGGCGCCCACCTGCGCGAGGCCAATGCCACTGAAATTCAGCTCAAGTCACAAGCCAGCCGCACGACCACAAACAGCTGCCCCAACTGCCCTGCCATCCCAGACACTGAACACATGATGTTGCCCTCGGAACACCACCACATGGGCCACTACGTCAACCAGCACGGCATGGTTCTACCAGCTCTCCCGCACCCGGCTATGATGAGCCACCATGCCGACTCCCACCCGGATGCCGACCAAGCATACAAAACAGCGGCAGATGCTGCTCTCCCACCCGTTGGCCAGCCTGCCGCCAACGCTGTCGCAACCCCGCCCGTCTCGTCCCAAGCTGGGCTTGCAGACCAGGCCGCAGCCCAACACGCTGGCTTAGCGCAGCAAGATGGCGTTGAGCATGCTGCGATGGCGATGGCCGGACTGGCCCAGCGGCACCCAGATGGCAGCCATGCATTGCTCATGCCTGGCATGGCGCAACCCATGTTGGACGGCATGGATACTGGCCATTACCAAAGCATCGCCAACTCCATGACCTCCTCAAACCCTCCAATGTATCCTTATCCACCCATGTACTCGCACATGGAAGTGGCACATCAGCTGCCCCCGGAACAATTGCCTGACATGCAGGAGCGCGAGCGCGAAGCTCGTGAGCAGTATTCATATTCAGCCCGCCTGTACCCCTCAATCGACGTCATGCAGAACATGCGTGCCGCCATGATGCCTCGCTCAAGCGTTCCCCGGGTCCCTGAAAATGGGGCTGCCGTTCTCAGTGGCCCTGAGGGTCATCCAGCCGTCATGGGCTTACAACAAGCCTCGGAGCTTGGTGCCGAACAATCAAGCCTCAAAGCCGACTCGGGCCTACCCCAGCCCACGCTGCAGCAGGAGCACGAAGCTTCCCCTGGGTCGTCACAAGCAGTGTACAGCGGCCAACCCTCCGTTTTGGATGCGACTGACATGGGGCAGCCACCTGCTAAGGCACCGCGGCGAGGCAATTAGGCCTTCTCCTGATGTCGAGCATGTCTATCCTTCAACGATCCCCTTCGCCCCAGGCGGTCACTGTATGTTTCTTTGGTTGTGCCGTACAATTGCTTCTACCGTCCAAACCGATTATTATTTTCCCGTGTGTTGCTGTACACCCTGGGCTTGCTCTCCAGCGTTGGTTTCGAGTGACAAACTATGGCTTTCGTGTGTTCAGCTTGTCCCACCGCGCAAAGCGCGAGGCTTTTCTCCCGTCATGCCTGCTGTGTCCCAGATACTCTTGCTTTTCTTTTTCTTGTTTGTGTGGTCCATGTGACAGGTGTATGCTATCTTTCTTTATTCACGACTGTTTATGACAAAGCATGCCGCTTGCAGATACCCCTTTGCGCCTGGTCATCACCTCTTGACTGTGTCCGATGGCACGGCTGACAGGCCCCGACCTTTGTGTGGCATTTCGACGGTCTTTCTCTTTGATTTTTTTTTCCCTGTGTGATGCCATGCATGATCTGATGCATTCTGCCGTCAAGAGCGTATGTAATTGATGCCATTTGGTCAAAAGTCATTTGGAAGCATAGAGCGGTTTAGGCGCTCACAAGCACGTGACGGGGCTGGGCGGTGATGATTGCCCCCAATAGTCAGTGACTGTGACGCTGTAACACCCCTGTGCCAATGTTCCGTTCTGCACATGCAGGTATGCTGTGAAGCGAGTCGCCACAGGGTTGACGCGAATCGCGTCACTTCTGGACGTTGCGCTGTACATCACCTCGTACGTCAGAAGACAGCGATCTGGGGCGTCATTCCAAAGAATGTATACCTCGGGTGGTGATCGCGTGGTTGTAACGTGAAGTCGCGGGGCCGCTAGAGCAGCTGGGGCTGCCCGCTGCTCACACACGTGCAACAGCACAAGCCCCGGGGCTGGTATATTGAACCGCCATTCTGGCTCACTCACGGGTTGGGGAAATCCTGCCACAAGAGGAATTTCTGCTGCCTGACGCATGGCCTCGCGCTCAGCTACAGAGGGAAATGTCGGCGCGCCCTGTGCTTGCCACGCTGCGAATGCACTGCCATGTGCATCATCCAGCGCAAAAGCCACAGCAACAGCGCCGTCTGAGAAGCTGGGCCAATGGCTTGCATTGAGCAGAACCGTGAAGTCGATGGTATCATTGGCTGCGTCATTGGAGGCATACAGAAGCACGGCCACTTCTCGTGAGGCAGCGTCCCCACGCACGGTGGCGATAGTGCCAATGATATCCGTGTCCGGAGACGCCGTGCCGGTGGTGGCCAAGGTAACCCGATCACCGAGTAGGGACAGGAGCGCCATCACGTTGAGACTGAGCTTGCGAAAGCTGGCAATGGACTGGGTGGCATTGTAATCAAAGCGTGAAACGAGCGTGCGTTGCGTAAAGGCATGCGGTCCGTTGTCTGGATAATTTAGAAAACCATTGTCATTGGATAGAAGGTCGTAGCGAAATCCTGTTGGCATGCCCCGGTGAAAAGAGTTGGCTCAGCTCGGTTCAGGTTATTCTTTACGTTGGGCGGGTGAAATTAAAGTGGGTCATGCCACGGGACTCCAGGTACAGACCGGGCAGCGAAGAATTGTAGATGAGATCGACCATGTGTTGCTTTATGGTCTTGACAATCATTGCGGGGTAGCGAGCATCTGCCCGCCAAGGCTCAATGCTAAAGCAACAACACATGTCAGTCAGAGCGGGCATTGCCAAAGTGCTGCCTAAAGCATACAACTTTGTTGCATTGCCCGATCATAAGGTGGGTATGCGAGTGTGCCTGAGGCTTTGAGGCTTCACATACCGACTCCAGGTTACAAGCGGATCAGCTTCATCGTTGCCAAAGGCCGTATCAGCGTACGCGGTATGCCGTGTCTGCTGATAGAGCCAAGTGGCTAAAGGCTTCTCCTGCTCGATGATGCCCAAGCTGTTGCTGTTGCCTATGTGCAGATGACGTGTCAAAATGTGAAGACACGCGGAGAACCGACCAAGCGATGGGGCTTCGGTGATGAGGCGATGAAGCACAAGGAGACCTTTTTGATGAAAGTTGAAGTAAGTAATGTTCCCACAGCCAGCTGCGCCGGTGACATAGTGAGTGCCTGTGAGGCAGTGCTCAACGATGGCAACAAAGAAGCTCTTGTCGCCATCCGAAGCTGGACCCCCAAAGATCAGCTATCAAGAATTCACCTCCATGAGATGACATAGCCGGTTGCAACTACGAGGCCGACTATGATGATGATGATGATGATGGCGGTATCCCAATGACCTTTCCGGCAAAGGGCCACCTTTTTAGAAGACCTGGATCGACAGACCTGGCCATCAACTTGATGCAAGGCGTGCTCAATTACATCCCAATAGTTGATAAAAGCAGCTAGGTTGCATTGGATGTTGGCTTGGAGCTCTTCTTTGCACTCTCCTTCTGGTTCTGCGGGCAGCGGCGATGAACATTTCAGAAAAGAGAGAAAAAGTCATTGCAGATGAGGTGGGGCATCTATACCGACAAGAAAATGCCCGACTGGTCATGCTAGCCGGCGGCGAGGGGCGACTGACCATTCCATGACTCAAAGCGCCACTGTCTCACTATCGCAGCATGATGGGCATTGTTGCGGCCACAGCGTGAATCAAAATACGCAATCAAATAGGTGAAGCACCTTGCTTCCTCAGGGGGGTGCACCTACCCTCTTGAAGACCGTAGCGCCCAATGTACCGCTTGGCCAAGGCAGTGACGACCTGGCCAAAGGCATCAAGCTGAGTAGCATCACGGAAATCTGAGAACAAGGTGCCACCAGGATTGCCTGGGGAAAAAGATAGCGCAGAAAATGGCTTCAAAATGAGGTCACGCTGCTAGGTGGCATGGCTTGTGCGGGTGATGCCACTCTCTGGTGCGTGGGAGATGGACAAACCCATGATTTCAAAGCCAGGGTAGAGGCCGTTGCTTTTGAGAATATCAAGACCGGCATCCAGATCCGTCCAATTGAGCGCAACACCAGCCAAAAATCCCTGAGCAATGATGGCATGAGCAGGTTTGCTCCGGTGCGCCCGATCCAGTCACCAATCGAAGCATGTCTTGGGTTGGTGTCAACATCAAGGGCCTACCGCCGACTCGTTAAAGCAGGTCCATGTTGCGCTATCACAGTCGACTTCGTAGGCATTGGCCACGTGGATGAGATCCAAGAGGAAATGAATGCGAACATACTTGATACCGTCATGTGGCACCGAGCCTGCAGGTCAGGTGCGTGGGTTGAGTGGAAGGGCGACCCCAGTATCAGCTCTAGGTAATGCAGCCAGCCTAGCGGAGAGCGGGGCTTGAACGGGTTGAAGGAAGAAGACACACCAATCAGAATGTGATTCTGCCGCTGATCTTCGGTGAGGAAATACTGGGCAAACTCTTCATGTGGATCTGGCGGGCACCATCCGCAGCTGAGCAAGGAATGGTGCGCAATTTGGTGAGGTTGAGAGTCGCAATCTACGCGCGCGGTGGCTGCAAATCGACAAGAGAGCACGCCAGCCTGACCTTTGCCAAAAGTGGGGAAAAGGAAGCAGCACCTCTTCTGCAAAGTTGATTTGGATACTCCGGTTTGTGATAGCTGTGGCGGTTGGATGGATCCCATTGGCACCGAGAGCCAGCCCCACTACTGCGCCCAGCAAGCCGATCCACAGGCAAGCGCCTCGTTCCAAACGACGGCTCGACATGATGTTGAAAAACAACAAAAACAAATTCAAAAAATTGAGAAATCAGTCAAAGGTTACGTAATAGTGTAGTAGAGCTTGAATCGTGTGGATGGCGGTTCAAGGCGTCAAAGGGGTTTCCGAATGATGTACATTGTGTGTGCGTGTGCGTGTGCGTGTATGTGTGTATGCATCCTTTGAGATGGTGGGATGGATGTGGCGTCAATTTGCTCGACGTCTACTGTCTGATTGTTAGGAGAATAATGACCATGACAAGAACAACAGGAAGGACAAAGTCAAGAGTGGTCATCGGGTGGCGGGTCTCAAAAAGGCATGGAGGCATAATAATTCTTCGATGTTGGCAGTTCTAGCGCAGGGTCAGGGCACGAGGGCTGGCCACGGATGGGCCAGTCTGAGCTTGCTGAGGTTGCCGTTGAAGTTTGTGTAAGGTCAAGGCTGGCTGGGCCTGGTTGACATTTTTTGGGCTCAAGGCGGTCCGCTGCTGGTTCTCGGCATGCTTGGTCCGGCGAACGGCCATCGGTTGGCTTGGGCTTGCATGTTTGTGGGAAGCACCTTCGAACGAATCGGCCAGGACAGTGATGCGTTCACTGTTTCGGCTTTCGACACTTGGGCTCATGGGCGTGGTTGGCGTTGACACCAAGCTGGGTAAACTGGCGGGGCCAAGATGCCAGGTTGTCGTTGGCAAAGCAGTCTGATGGTCTCGCGTGGTAGAGGCTGGCTTCTCACTCGCGGTAGGGTCGGATTGCGAGTTGTGCGCGTGGCGCGTGGGCTGTGGTCTGGCAAGGTCAGTGCGAGTCGCATCCAGGCGTGCGCTTGTGGGCTTGGTAGGAGACACAAAGTGCTCCACGGCGGATTGGGAAGAGGCCAAGAGCTCACTGCGGGCGCCAAAGGTGCCGTCAAATTCCATCTCTAGGCTATCATCAGCAAACTGTGGTTGAGCAGGGGCGCGTACAGGGGCGCGAGCCATGGTGTTGAAGGTAGCACCCAAAGGTGAGCCCAAGGTTGGTTTGTGAGCAACGGGGTCGGCAGCAGGGCGGATAGGGGTGCGGTCAATCATGCGCGAGGGAGATCTTGGGTCCAGGGGCTCCAAGAGGTCAGTTTGACCTGCGCAGCGGGGCACGGGTGCCGCCCGCAGACCCATGGGATGCTGTGCATGGACAAGGTCCAAGCTGCCGGGAACAGCTGGCAGGGGATGTCGAAGGCCTGAGCCCGTGGCGGGTTGACGCAGTGGTGTTCGGTTAAAGAGTCCATAGGGTGCTGGAGAGCGGGGGTCCAACAGGGGGCTGGTTGCCGAGGGACTCGACGGCATCGCTGCTTGTCGTCCTTTGCCTGAATGGCTGGTGTCTCGGCTGGTGGAGACACCCATGACGACGGGGTGTGTACGTGTGTGATCGTTGACCTTTTAAAAGGAAGAAGCTGTTCTCGCGGTCGGAACGCTTTGAGAAGCGCTGGTTGTCTGTTGTTGCAACGGTCGTAGCGGCGAGACCTCGAATCAACAAAGCACGCACGGCATGGGCTGTTTGCACCTCAGATTTGAAATTTGGCGCCGCACCAATACACACACACACACACACACACACACACACACACACACACACACACACACACACACACACACACACACACACACACACACACACACACACACACACACACACACACATCTCCACAACATGCGAAAACACAAAATTTTGGATTTTTAAAAAAAGTACTCTTTTATTTTGAATGAATTGGAAGACTTTGTCTGTCGTGAAGGTTGCGTGTGCATCATAAACCAATCCAAGGAGCAAAAAGCAACCTGGCGGCGGCGGCGGTGCGACTAACTGTAACATGTAAAATAGGAGAAAAAAAATTGATTCACTTATGCTATGATACATGGCGGGGGATGGAGCGGGAGTGCGGGCCGAGGCGCGTGTCGTGTGCCCATCTTTTAGCAGCACCCGCGCTTTGCCGAGGCTGAACTTGGCATGTCCGAGCCGAGCTGGATCGAGTTGGTCTGGGTCTCGCTTTTGCGCGAAGGCGTGATCCGTTTGGCTGCACGAGTTGGCCCAAACATGCGGTGAGATGTCCACTGGGTTCAACACTGTGAGCGCGGCCAGGTTGTCCCTAGGTCTTGCACCATGACGCACCCAGCTGGTCGAAGAGTTCGTGAACGTTGATGCCTTGAATCGCACTCGTCTCGAAGAAGATGGCGCCAACCGACTCGGCATATTTGCTGGCATCTTGGTAGGCGACCTGGCGCTGCTCGTCCAGGTCTGGCAGGCCGGCCATACAATCAAGGCATGAGCAGCCGCGAAAGATACGCGGCACCGAAGCCAAAGCTGGCCAAAGCGTACCTGCTTTGTTGCCGGCAATGGCTAGAGCTAGGCGCTGTCCCGGGTTGATGGCAGTCAGCTCGCTGACCCAGGAGCGCACATTTTGAAAGGTTGAGGCCTTGGTAATATCGTAGACGATGACGGCCGCCTCCGCATCACGATAATACATGGGGGCCAGGCCACGATACTAAGGGCAGATGAATGGGGGATGAATATTTGGAAAGGGCGGTGAGCCACACCAAGATATGACTGCTGTCCTCGTCCTCTGCCCAACGCGCGGGGGGTGGGGGGAGGTGGTGGTCACCTTTTCCTGTCCAGCTGTGTCCCAAATGGAAAGTTTCAGCTCGCGGTTGTCCAACGTTATCATTTTGGTGAGAAAGGATGCGCTGCACCAGCGCGGGCAGAGCAGGAGGTGGTGAGCTGTGTTCGAGTCCTGGGCTCGCAATGCCTTGCCCGAGTGGTGTGGGGTTTGGTTTGGTCGACTATTGGGGGCCATGCAACGCACCCAATCGTGGGCTCGAGACGAGGCGGGCAGCTTCCATAAACGTAAAGCTGGGCCAGGGATGACTTGCCGCACCCTGCAAATGAATGACGCGATGAGACAAGGAAAGAGGCCGAGCCAGGGCCGACGCTCAAGCCGCCAGCAAGCTCCCGAGTATCGGACACGTACCAGCATCCCCCAGCAAGCACAGCTTGACATTCTGAAAGGCCATGTTGCACGAATTTGCACACCACAGCCCAAAAGTACGTCGACTCGCCTCGACAGTTCACGGGCCAAGCGCGCGCTGCGTCGAAACTTTTTTTTGCGAACTTGGCAAAAATTGAGTGAAAAAGAGAGAAAAAGAGAACAAGAACGCCTCAACTCGTTCTGTGTGTGTGTGTGTGTGTGTGTGTATTTAAATGTCAGATAAAACGGGGATGCTACCAACCGTCATTCAGCTTTAGCCCTTTTCAAGGAAGAAAGGGCAGGATAACATGTGCGCGCTTGATATGTGATGTTGTAATGGGGATGGTGCCTTTTGTTTCCGCCCCCTTTTTTTTTGACTGTTGTTGCTACTGTTGTTGTTGTTGTCATCTCGTTTCTCTCTCTCTCTCTCTCTCTCTCTCTCTCTCTCTCTCTCTCTCTCTCTCTCTCTCTCTCTGTGCATATTCACACACACACACACACACTCTCTCTCTGTGCGCTCCTGCCCTTGAAGCGCTCCTGAGGCCTCTGCTGCTTCGCGCTCTGCTCCGCTTGGCATCTGCTGTGCGCTGCTTCGCTTGCCTCTGCTGTGCCGGTTCTCTCTTTTTTGCTCTGGGGGTCTGAACTTTTTTACTTTTTTTTTTTGGGGGGGGGGGGTTTCCTGGATTCGGAGCAGAGTGTTGTCGATTGCGCGCCGGGGTTCGAGTTGGTATTCCGTCTGCGCCCTGCCGTGCGAGGTGCGATCAGAATGATCGGATCGTTTCGTTCCAGCAACTCGTGTTCAAGACAGCCACGGCGATCAAAGCCCCGGCCTTTCCTTTGCCTTGGTGTCTGTCTCACACGTTTATCGCTCGATGTAGGGCTCTTGACTGGAATATAGGGGAAGCTTGTGCTCTGACAATCAACACTTGGTCCTCGCACAGACACTCGGCATCATGGGGTGCACGGGTAGCAAACAATCGTTTGTACGTGCCTACCAAGCGCTTGCACTCGCGTTGATTATCATGGCACGCTGGTGCTCAGATCATATCCATGTGCCTGCCGTATTCACATAGCCCCCCGAACGTCTCTTTCCCGTCACAATCCTGGATGAGAAAGAAGAGGTACTCTTCCATTGCTTACACTTTGGCCGGCCATCTGGCCAGCATGATAAAATTTGCCGCATCCATCTGGTACTGGTCCTCATTTGCTATTTGCACCGCGCGTAAAGCCCCAAGCCAAAGGAACCATGACTGTCACGACAGACGCCATGATGCTGCAACAGCACGGTTGGTTTGTTTCTGTGACGCGACCCAGCCTGCCTTCCTCTGCTCCACCAGGGCTTGCCCGAAGTGGTGTTCAGCACCGCTCACCATGCTGCGTCGGCGGAACGGTTGCTCTGGTCTAGGCCACTCGGACAAGGCCGTCTGGGAGCTGCGCTATCTGCGGCGCTTTGGCTACGATAAAAAGTATTTCTCTTTTGAAGCTGGTCGTCGCTGCACAGACGGACCGGGCATCTGGGCCGTTAGCACCCCAAAAGCCAAAGAGCTCTTTAGCATGGTTGATTTCTATGTGAACAAGGTCAAACAAACACCCATCCCAGATCAAACTCATACTACAGCTGCCGCAGCACCAGCCGAGGTTCGAACCAGCATCACCCTTTGCCCCAAGACTCAATCCGACATGCCATCATCCCACTTGTTCATCTGGTATCCGCCTTCCAACGCCTCTTTAGAATCCATACAAGGGCGTGGGCACTGCTGGCAGCGGCGAACCCAAGAAATTGGCTTACGCACAGCTTGATCTCTCCTCGAAAGCAGCTTTCAAGATCGCCAAAGGGTAAGCACAATGCTCATTCGTCATCCCTGCTTCCTCTGCCTTTGTCATGTGCTAATACTGCCTTGATGCACACTCCAGGAACGGTGCCGGCAAGGGAAAAGCCACCACTTCTTATGCTGAATTGGACTTTGAGCAGATGGACGCCATGGCCGACGGCAATCAAGGCGTGGCATTGTAGGGTCAAAATGGCTTCAGAGTACCGCCTTCCTTCTTCTCCCATCCTGGTGCCCAAACGCCAGGTCTCGGAGTATTCTTTTTAATAAAACCAATGCCTGCTAGCCAGCAAGTTCGGGTTCCAGCTCTCTCTGGATCCACCAGAGGATGTTTTGACTCATTTTGTAGTCTTCTACCCGGCTTTGATTCCGCGGTCAAAGCTTTCTTGTTCACTTGCTTGCCATGTTCCTACTTGCCTTCCTGTGTTGTGCCATTTTCTCATTCTTCTTTACCGTCTTCTCCAAGCTGTGCTCATTCAAACTGTCTTGTCGGGACGCCGCGCGCCAAATCCAAGACGTATTTGGAGATAACAGTTGGAGGTTAAACTGAATTTACTGTAAACTCTTACAACACCAACGACTCAGTTTGGCATTGCACTGGATCAGCAGAATCCTGCCAGCAGAGACCAGTAGCTTGAAGCTTGGTTTTTTTTTCCGCCTCTTGGTCGTCACACACTAAACTCAGCTGACAAGTCTGACAAGTCCATGTCCAAACTTCCCTGAGACGGGCTTTCAAGTGACGTGCTGGACCAGCCATCTTCGTCCTGCGGTAGAACCACCACATGCGTCACGCGATCGATTCCTCCTGGCGCACGGCTGGTGCGCAAGTCGAGCTGCATGGGGTATTCACCTGCGAGAGCAAGGCGAAGGCAAACAGCAGGAAAAAAGAGCGTTCCACCCATCACAATTGTCAGGCCATGAGAGCGTGCGATAGCCATTCTCAGTCCTTGCTCATGTTTCCAAGTCATGCTCAGTACCGATGAATGCCATGGAAAGAGAGAGAGAAATAAAAAAGAAAAGAAAAACAACAAAGAAGAAAGCATCAAAGAACCTTTTTGAAAAAGTTTGTGTGACGCCCAAAAAACAAAAACAAACACCCCCCCCCCCCCGAGAACGTGTTGGGCATACCGGAGGCTGCATAGACCACATCGACGTCGACGTCCATACAGAGACCACGCCATCGTTCCTCATAGCGCGCACTCAGACCGGGATCACTAGAGACTAGTGCACCGGCCTGCTGAATATGCCGCAATGCGCCGGCAACAACAAGGCGCACGTTAACCGTGTCTGACGTCTATGACCCCGTGCCATCCAAGTTCATGAGATTCAAGCGCTTGGTGCGAGCCAAATGGGTGCAACATATGGGTACGATGCAGAGTAGCACCAACGGATGCACAGGCTTGAAACATGACAATTGAATGCGCCCTTTGATTCGCTCAGCGTACAACTTACAGCACACCGCAGGAAGACTTCATGTAGCTGTGATGGCACTTCATCCAAGGAGCAAGCACGCAAGACAGCAGCCACGATGCCCGTAAACCTGTTCAGAGTTTGAGAAGGGACAGCATTGGGTTCCATGTTGGGTTATTTGAAGGTTCGGGTTGGGAAGAAATGGACAATCGTTTGTGTGGGCGCACCGGGCGCATCATTGGGACATGCCTGAGTGTATCCTCTGCCCCACTGTCCTCCTCTGGCGTGAAACGACTGGCCAAAGTCAAGAGGAATTGCTTCTGCAAAGCTGGGGCGTTGGCCAGACGACGTGCCAGGCTACCCACCTAATTGCGACCGAGAGCACGGATGGAAATTGAACACACGCGTAAAATGCACGGCATACCAGAATTCGCAGGATGACAAGACGTGTGATGAGCGCAGAACGTCAAGTGAGCTTACCGCTTCATAGGCTGTCTGACGGGTGCTGGCAAATGGATCGACACACAGTTCGAGTGCAATGTTGCACAAGACTGAATAAACTTCCTCCTCTTGAACAATGTAGCATCTATTGCCGGCAATGACGGACAACAGCAATGAGCACACTTTAAAGCATGGTGTGAGTAGACGTTGGCCACACGTACAGTTGAGCAATTTGTGCCGCCAAAGACTGGCGGAAGCGCCAAAAAGTACTTTCTTCGGTCTGCATTCACAAGGTAGCGTATGCACAAGGTAGTGTATGCAAGCAAAGGAAAAAAAACAAAACAAAAAACATAAAAGAATGAGTATCACCCTGTGGTTCATCATGATGGGTTGCAAGTGATGCAAGTAGGCCGTCCGTACATCTTTAAAGCTGAAGAGCAACGGCAAGTAGACGTGCCGAGCCGTCAACGGGATGAGGGCCAGAAACTCGGCCATATGTAAAAGCAGGCTGGCGCGAACTTCATCCCAATCTTTCCAAAAAGCGTCGAAACAGTGCAGAAGATCAGCCTGCGTCAGTTCGGGTCCGATTATTTGTGCAATCTTATGAATGGATGCTGCCATGTTGGCGCGCGTCTTCCACTAGCGAGGTAGATCAGGACATGGCAAGAAAGCATGACGCAGACATGTGAGACTCAAGGCGATACCATACGACCAGCCAACCGAGCCCCCAAGGGGCACGCACATCATCATCAGTGGCAAGTTTTTGGTAGGCAGCTCGTAGCTTCGGCCAACCACGAGCCCCCACGGCCCACACCACGCCAGGAAAGCTAAAAGGGTTAGCACAGTTTCAAAAGATTAGTGGTGCCGTGACTACATGAAATCCCCATGTCAAGACGACTGAGCCAGGTCGTCGGAAGATGCCGCCCGTTTCCAAAAGTGCCCTGCTACCCCAATTGTTTCGCACCCTGCCCTGCTCCTGCCTCACGTCTGCGTCACGCACAAATAGGCACACTGCCGAGTAATGTCATCGTCAATCTTCTCCACGGCATCAGGCTCGGTCATGTCCAAAAACAGCTGAACGAGTTCATCTGGCACCTAAAGAGGATAGTGGTCATGAATAAAACATTGCACAAACAATTGCCATGTGTCGAGTTGGCCAGGACTCAAAAAGGTACTTTTGGTGGAATGCAGCATACCTCGTCCGTGTTAATGGAGCTGCGTACGACGCAAGGTAAGGTTGCATACATGGGGAGACTGAGAACACCCGTGTGTACGATGGAGGGAGCCTGCATCAGTGGAGCTGGCGACTCAGATGGGGTCCCGGGCACCGAATCTTGGTCGGTTGTCGCCTGCGAACCGGCGATCTCGTCCAAGACACCGGTCTCACTGTCCCCGGAATTATCATTCCGGAAGACATTCTCTCCTCCGACTTGACCATCCTGTGTGCCCACAGGCGCAGTCGTCTTGGTATCAGCATCCTGCCGTGGCGCTTGACTACTGCTTAAAGACGAAACGGACATGCTCCCTAAAAGGTCGTTGAGCTCGGGAATGTCCACCTCTGGGATGGGGCTGCGCCAATACTCAACCGAACCGAACTCGCGCACCAGGCGCTGGTCTGTCTCATCTTCGCCAGCTGTAGTGGCAGTTGAGGATGCTGCGGGCGTATCCTCACCCCCGCTCCCATTGTCCATGGCCTCCCGCATGGCCCGCAAATATTCGGCTTGTTCCTCATCCACAATGAAAAATTCGCCTTCTGGTGGAGGAGGCACAAAGGCTGCCATCACGGAGCCCACGGCGCAATAGGCCGCCAACCGTACGAAGCGGTTGTTGTCGGAGGCGAGCGTACAGAGCATCTGTGTGATGGTTGTACGGCGCACTTCGGGGCGCACATGTTGAGCCAGCATGCCCAGCGCATCGGCACACGCCTGCGTGTGCAAAAGGGGCGGTGAGACAAAAAAAAACCGGGGCAGTGTAATGTGAGCAAGGAACAGGTTTGGCTTGCGTCGTTGTCCAGTGCATAAAGCGAAGACAGCGCACGAGCAGTCTGTCAATGAATATCACCTTTTGCACTCCCCAGATGTTGTCGCTAATAAGCTGTTCAAAGACTGGAAGAAGCGTACTCTCAAATTGGTCCGATGGTAGCACCTGGTTTTGCCCAGGCGTGAGCAATGAGTTTGTGTGGATAGCCGGGGCAAGCGCAAGCTTCTTGACCGGGGCGGGGCTTGGAAGAGGCATACTTACGGCAGCAAAGCAGGCGATGCAAGAGGGGCAACAGCCGCGAACGCGAAAGTAAGGTGTGGTGGCGTAATCCGTAATCAGCTCAATAGCACGAGCTGCACTTGCCGGGGTTTCGGCGATGAACCCAGCAGTATTGGCCAGTATCTGCATGAAACGATCAAGTGTGCAAAGGGTATGAGCGGCTGGCTAGGAGAACATGAGTCAGCAGCGGGTGGGCCAGCTTTGAGACACCACAAGCGTACGATTGATGCTTCACGTCGAATCTCATCTGACATCTGCCGAGACGAGAGCGCATCGATGGCATCCATAACTGTGCCGCATGTCCCAAGTCGGGTTGAGTGCAAGGTGCATGAACGACACGAATGGTCACGATGAGAGTGTGGGGCGAGACAACTGCAAAGGGGAAGCAGCTTTGTCAAGCGAGCCAGGGAGCGGCGACACACGTAGTTTTGTTTTGATGGGTCGAGGAATGTCTGGATGCTCCATGAGATTAGTCAGAGCTGCGTGAACTTGGGTTCTGGTCGTGTTGTCCGAGGTATCGATCACGGCTGCCAAAATAAGGTCACGATTGCGCTCAAGGAGCTTCAGCAGGGAATCACTGGGCAGGACATCGGTCAAAGCGCCAAGGTTCATCCACAGCTGGAAGCGAATCAGGCCGGCTGTCGAAGCACATCAAGAGCCGAGGCAGCGTGAGCCAAAAGCAACCAGGGCGAGCAAGACGGAGACAAGTACTATGTGTGCAAATGCTTGACCGAGCGCGTGCGCGTGCTGACCTTTGTCCTGTGCCAAGCGGCGCCAGGCCTCGAGCACCACGGCCTCGTCGGCCTCATTCTCGATGGCGCTTGCGGCACGGGGAAGGGTTTGTCGTACCGCTAGGGCCCTGCACGATGTCAGCATTAACCAGCCGAGGAAGCATGAAAAATTGGGACACAGCCCAGCGATTGGACGCATGCAGGCCCGGACACGCAAAGCACAGGCACATTTCTGAGACCCTCCCTACCTTGAGTCGAGGTCAAGGTTTTCATCTTCCAAAAGCAGTTGTAACTAAACGGTCAAAGACATGGCATGGGTTGAGTGGGAACAAAACTTGGATGGAGGAGGGCGCTGGGCTCCGGCTCGGCAATCTGGTACCGCACCTGGACGGCTGGGCGGTGAGCATTGGTGAGGAGGGCAAGCGCCTCATCCAAGGTGCCGTCCTCATCGGCGGTCATGGCCAGCGTTGGCGCTGGTCAGGCAGAGAGAGCTCAAAGGGCTTGGGTCTGTTCGAATGGCGTGTGTGTGTGTGTGTGTGTGCTGGGCTGTGGTAACTGCAAGCAAATTTCCACTGTGGGTCCGTCCAAGTGCAGCGGCGGGCTTTGGCGCTGTACGGATAATATCACCCCACCAACCAGCTGTCGTCAGCCTCGTATCGCGGGAAACAGGCAGGCAAAAGCAAAGCTACCACGCTGCTGCTAGCACAGCTGACGACGACGCCGACAATGATGATACGATGGGGCTACTCGGGCTACGCTACGAGGGCTGCTGGGGCTGGTGCGACTGATGGTGATCACACGGCAAAAAGGAAAAGAGGCAACTACACTAAAAACGAACAGTATAATACAACAGCAAGATGGCCATCACTTGCTGATGCTGATGATGAACGAGTTGTCAGCATTTACATCCGGATGACATTGTATTTTTAGCGCAAGTGTGTGTGTGTGTGTGTGTGTGTGTGTGTGTGTGTGTGTGTGTGTGTGTGTGTGTGTGTGTGTGTGTGTGTGTGTGTGTGTGTGTGTGTGTGTGTGTGTTATTTGTCTCAGCTCGTTTGTGCGTGCGGGTGCGTGCGTGGTGTGCGCTGTGAGCCACCAAACGGTCACCTGAGCATCTCGTGTCGTCAGCACCGATTCGACAGGTGCACAAAGACCGGGGCAAACGGGCCGTGAAGGAGGTTGGGTTGGAAAAGAGGTTTGGAGCAGAATGTCAACAACTGCTTGAGCTCTGTGGAGAAATCAAAGCCAATCACGAACGTCGAGACGCGTTGACGGCACCCTCCGCACCATCCCACGTTCGGCGCCCGCCCCTTGGTCACGTTTTTTTTTTTCTCGCCGCGCCTTCTCTGGCGGCCTTTTGTTTTCTCGTCTTGGGTTGGAGGTTGAGCATCCTGGCTTGGCGAAGACCATCAACGCACGCAGACATGGGAGGGGATGTTTTGACCAGCCTGCCGGTGAGTCGGATGGGAGGCAAGTCCATGGAGAATGAGGCGCATCATCGTGCACGCTCGCGGTCGCGAACCGACAGCTTCCAGCGCTGGCTTCGGCATCAACAACGCCAAATTGATCAGTCGGACACATCTCACGTCCTAGTCATGAATTTGCGGCAAGGACAACATGCCGCTGCTCATGCTCATCTTGAAGCTACATTAGGATCGCAGGAACTTTGCGACGTGCAACTCGATCCGACCTGGTCGTTTGGCTTTTTCACCGCCCGGGATGCAACTGCGGCGCAACGGCATTGTGACGTCCTCAACGGCTTGACCGACCAAGCCATGCATGCGGCCAAGCCTGCCTCTGCCGCAACTTCATCTGTTGAAGGCTCCGATTCCACTGTACCCCCCTCCTCTAGCCCAGAGTTCCCTCTACTCTTGCGCTGCCAGCGCTGTGCCGATGTCACACCCGGTCGAAACCCGCGCGTTTACAACCCGAATACGCCTCCGGTGCCCAGTATTGCCCTCAAGGGCCTAGCTGCGGACACAACGGCCGAGGATGTGCGGGCCATGCTGTCATCCACGGGCTTGCCCATGCCTGTCACCATTGAGTTTTTGCCCAGTGCCGCTGAGCGGTCTCTTGAGACAGCCTTTTTAACTTTTGCTGACGTCAATGAGGCCGACCGCGCTTGCCACATCCTCTCCGCCGTCATGTGTGATGACCGTATCTTGCGTGCCGAGTTTCGTCGCGGCGGCAATCGCCTCGCGGGGCAAGTCTACTGTCCCCCGGATGCGCTCTGCGAGCAGTTCTACAAGGACTTGAAACTCTTCAAATCGTCGCGCGAGCAACGTCGTGAATATCGCGATTTGCCCACCATGGTCCAAACCCAAGTGCATCTGATGGCGGAGGTCCTCGGCTTGCGTCACCAAGCGCAAGTTGAGGACGCTAACAAAGTCGTGGTTCTCTGGAAGGCAACTTCGCGTTCACCCGCGCCCTCGCCCAAGCCGAGTGGCCACCGAAGCACCGCCGCCAGTGTCTCCCCCTCGGCAGAGCAGGCCCACCAACGCCACTCGCTCGAGCCCATGGGCCGCCGCCGTAGCAACCCCACTAACATGGCAGCTGCAGCTCGCAGTGCAGCCAGCTCGCTCTCACGCGGCGAAGACTTTCGTCGTCGTGCCCAGTCGGCCCCGCATAGAGGCCGTGCTGCTCAGGCGGCACAAGCGGCTCGAGCTCGCTTGGGCGGGGTCCATCAGAATGCATCTGCACCTAGTGGACCAGATAGTAGTGGTGGATGGCGCCAACAGGGCTTGCTGTCCGCCTCGAGCAGCGGTGCTCCCTCCCGCTCCCGCTCGCCACACGCCATTACAATTCCTCCGCGAACAACCTCCGGCTAAAGGACGCATCTGGAGCTTCCACAAGCTCAATCCGGGTGCTCATTGATGAGTGGTGGATGTGTCTTGCCGTTGTCCCGTTGTGATGCGATGAAACATGCATGGATTTACCTCATTATCAGATACACCCTCAGCCTTCCTGACCTTTTAACTCTCAGATGTACAGTAAATAGTTGGTCCGACCCAAGTCAATCGGCATTGGCCTTTATTTTTTTGACCCATGCAGGCACAGACACGCTTGCTTCTTCCGCCATTTGCCATTCTCCCGAACATTTTTTCTTTACTTTGCCTTTTCAATCGATCAAAACAACCATGCATCATGATGACCTCAACGCCCTGTCATCTGGCGCCAGCTCTCGTACAGACGGTGTTTTTTTTTTTTTTTTCAACATCTGATCTAGAATTTTATTTTTACAATTCTCATACTTGAAGATACCACCTGGAAATTCAGCTGGGTTGCGTTTTCTTTTGGGCAATAGCCATCTCTACTGCACGCAGCTGGGCCATAATCTCTTCCTTTCGTCGACTGTCCATCTATGCGTAGATATGCAAACCAATAGCAGAGGGCAAGTGTCAGGCAAAAACTCTGAACGTCAAGGCAGACAAGGGGTTGCAACGGGAATGCACGAAGTAGCGAGAAAGTTTGAAAAGCCCCAGCGCACCGAGGGTTGAGCGTGGCGTGGCGGTGAAGCGCGACGACGGCCACGACCATCGTCATCGTCATCGCGATCCGAGTCGGCGTCACGGTCTGCGTCACGTTCGTCATCTTCCCATCGCCGGCTGCGTCTATGCCGTTCTGATGGTGACGCGCTGCCAGAGCGGCGCCCGCTGTCTCTGTGCTCCGCATCAGGTTCGTCGGCATCGCGTCGGCGTGATGGTGAACGCCGATTCCGTCGATCACGGTCCCAGTCGCGAGTCCGCTCAGGACTACGGCGTCGCTCATGCCGACTATAATTGCACGAAACAAAACAAAAGGTGTGTGTGTGTGTGTGTGTGGTGTGTGTGTGCAGGCGGGATGCGTCAGGGTCGCGAGCGGGCGTGGGGAAGTAGAGTCAGTTTTGCAAGCTAGCCCGTTGTTGAAGGTTGCTGTCACTGTATGCGATGAGAGACGCACCGGTCATCGCGGCCAGCCCAGTCTCGAGGCGGCAGGCCAGGGCCAGCCTGAGGGATCATTGGTCGCGGCGGTGGCAAGGGAGCCGGATGCTTGGAAATTTAAAAAAAAAAGATACAAAAAAAAATAAAAAATAAAAAAAAAGACATGGTGAGACAGGATAGTGATTGGTTCAGTAAGCTTGGGGCGATCTTCGAGTGGGTGGGCGTGCAAACACCAGGCGGCGTGGGTCATGCAACTTGACAAACTTCGGTGGGGCGACGATCAGCTGGGACAGCGGGAATGGGCGAGCCGGGAGGCGTGGGTGGGCCATTGAGCTCGGCCTGAGCAGTGCCGGGCAAAAGCAAAGATTGAGGGTGAATTGGGCCGGTTTAGACGACCAACGACACAGGCAGCTGAGCATGGCTAGAGCATGCTCTGGCCAGCCAGTCAAGAGTGTTGATGTCTCAGCCAACCTGCTTTGCATAAGCGCGGTCTTGGTACAAGGCATAGCTTTCCGAGAAGTTGAGCGCCTTTTGGGAGGTTTGCCGTGTGGATCAACATGTAAGACACATTTGGGAATGAGGTTCCTGCTGCCGTGTTAATTGAAGCCACAAAAGATTTGGATGCATCGCAGAACAAACCTCCGAGCTGTCATCACCCTCGTTTGCGGGCGGATCGGCAGAGGAGCTGGGTGCTGTGTTTTGTTCTAGCCAGTGCTGTACAAGCTCGGTGCGGCTGCTGCGGGCTTTGTTCCAGCTGGGAATCAGGTGTGACTGTCAAAAGGGGGAAAACGATTGTCCCATGATGAGCACGCAGGGTAGAGTCTCGGGCCATGTTCGCCGCACGACGCTTGTGCTAATAGGTCGCTTTCTGAAATTGGCGGGCAATGGAAAAAGCCGATGCAGGAAAGGTTGTCTCTACAACTGACCTCGTTGGCACCGACAATGGCTGATGAGCGGGGGCGGTACAGCTTAGCTCGCATCAATGTCGAGGGTCGCGAGTCTGCAAACCAGTCGGCAAGCGAGGTGAAGAGCACACATCAGTCACTATGATGCGAAAGAAGCAGGGGTGTATGCTCGTGTTGATCAGGAACAGGGGGCTGCGGCAAGATGAGTGGGAAGCCGGGTGAGAGACTAGAGCGCGCGCGCAGACCAGAGGCTGTTGGATGGGTGCTGGATGGTGTGGCCAAAACATGATCCTTGTCTTCTACGCGAGGGGTGGTGCGCGCGGGGGAGGAGGGGGAAGGATCAAAGCAGGGAATTAGTGTGGGGTCAAAGGGCTGGGCTGGTAGTTTGCTCGGATGATCCAGGGCCGTGTGCAGGTACATCGTACCACTGCGCTGTGGGGTCTGGGCGCTGCTCTCGCTCTCGAGCTGCGTCATGTCGAGCTGTCGGGGATGCACCAGCCCGCTCTCTTCTTCAGCAGGAGGCAGCGCGTGCGTGCACCGTTATAAAGCTGGACAGCCCTCGTCAGAAAGGTGATCATGGGAGGCTTTGGGACTTTGGGGGTTTCGTGCGTCCAGCTCGAGCTCGCGCGAGGAGCGAAGTGAGAGTTGTCGAGCGAGCTCAAGGGGGGCAAATGTCAGATGAAGTAAAGATGGGGTGTTGTGTTTGACTGTTGTTCTGTGCCGATTTTATACCAGTTGGTAGCAGTGTCAACGTCGCGTGTCTGGTTCAGTCTGGTTGGTGTCAGTGCCTTGGTTCGCCTGCTATGGGCGAGCTTGCTGGGGCCTCGGTGTCATGGCATTGCTTCCAGAGCTGACTTCTGGGTTGGCTTGATTGGTGTAGTCAACCTTGCATGTGAACAACACCTTCAGCACCGCCCAACGCCAACCCATCAACCCCAACACCAGAACAGAATTGATACCACCCCACACACAAGATCAAACATCACGTCACGTCAATCACGCGTTTCTTTCAAAGAAGGAGAACAAAAGAAAACAACTTTGATTTGATGCAACAACCTTGACCGTGTTAACCGTGTAGGGTCCAGACCGTTAAAAAGTAAGTGTGTGTGTGTGAAAGAGAGGGAGATTCTCTTTGTGTGTGTGTGTGTGTGTGTGTGTGTGTGTGTGTGTGTGTGTGTGTGTGTGTGTGTAGATGTGTGTGATGATGATGTGATGCATCTTTCGCTTTCTTTCTTCTCAGTAAACGCGCGTGCGCCCTTGACCGTTGTGTTGCCTTTGTCTCTTTTTTTGGTGTGGGTGTGTTGTGTGTGGTGTGTGCGTTTACTGATTGCTGCAGTGACCTCGCACGCGCTCTCGGGCGCGCTCTCGTGCAGTTGCTGTTTCGAGGTACTGCAGCGTAGCACGCACAGTCCCTCCCCTCTCTCAACCACTTGCGCTTGCGCAGGAGAGGAGGGGTGAACACCACAACAGGCAAGTCTGGCTGGCTAGGGACTCTTTGTACTGCAGCTCGCGCGCACTCCGCGCGAGCGACCCCTCTCGCAGCTGGCAGCCAAATGTGTGTGTGTGTGTGCGTGTGCGTGTGTGTCGAGGGGGAGCAACAAGGGGAGAATGGGGTGTTGGGTCTGGGAAGGCAAGGGCTGATCAAAAGCGAATCGGGTCTCGGCAAACAAAGCCACCCAGGCCCATCCAAGCTAGGGTTGCCTGCCTTGACCGATGCTCGTGCGATTTGGACTGCCATTTTTAAACCTTTGCCAGCCTCGCCCTTGCGCTCTTGGGGCTCGTCAGACCTGCTTCCCCCGTGTATTTTGACTCACGCAATCACTCTCCCCTTGCACCATCCCTCCACGTCTGGCTCTCCTTTGCTCCTCGTCTCGTCGCTCGACACAACCAATCATGCTTGGCGTTATGACAGGCAGTGGCGGCGGCCTGCTTCGCGCCACCAGCAACGATCGTTTCGTACTTCCTGTCCCAACGACGGACGCTTCGACTGCTGAAAGCACCCCTTTTGCACTGGCCAAAATGGCCTCCCGCCCTGCAGACAATCTCGGAGGCGCAGGGGCTACCGTTCAAGCGGAGGTCAGTCATCTTTCCAGCCAGTTGACAGAAATCGTCTAGCTGTGCGGTTGTTCGACGACACTCAGTGATAACTCTACCGTGATGATCACCTTGATGCGTAGGGCAAGCCCGCGCTCTTCACCGTTCATAGTCCATATCGCGAAGCAAATCCAGATCATGATGTAGGAGAGGGCTGGGATGACAGTGTCAAGGTGCGTGCCTCCTGATTGTCGCTTCTGGCGGAGTCGCAAGAAGCTCGTCAAGCAGACAATGATTGAAGCCCATGCAGCCGCATGGCCACCTGCACACCAAGCCGAACGGGGTCAGTGCCAGCCTGCAATGAGGAGCCACACTCATGTTCGCTTTGGGGTGTTGGCCGCCTTTCGTATGCGTCAGGTGTTTCCCCAGCCGATCGAGTTTGGCATGCCACCCAACGAGGTTCACCCAGATCACGTTGCATTTCGGAATCACGACCGCCTTGACGATGGTCGTCCTGACTGGCAACTCTCCTCGCAAGTTGAAGTGCGCGACCAGCATTTGATGGACACTGAGCCCCTTCCCCACCACCCCTCTGTTCTAAAGTAAGTGAAACACAACAAATCATGCCAACACTGGACCCGTTTGCTCGCATTCCTTCAGTCCTGGCAACTTGCTCCTCTCACAGCATTTTGCCTTCTTTCTGGTTTGGTCGTTGGTAGAATGCGAGAGGGGGGTGATGAAGGTCCCGGTTTTGACCACAGTACCGTACAATACGTATGTCTCCCAAGCCTTGCTTCCTTGCACACTTCCTTTTGCATGCCCTCACTCGTGTCTCCTCCCCCCCCCCCCCCCCCCCCCCCCCTCACACACACACACGCACACACACATGTGCCACTGGTCCACTTCGTATTTAGCGCGAGGACTTGCACGACACCCAGCCATCTGCTGGTCATCCAGACAATCACCGCTTTCGTCCTGACGGTCCTGTGGATGGCGAACTTTGGAATTCGGCCTCAAAACCAGCAGTGGTACGAACTTTCAGGAAATCCCTTGTCTGTGATATGCCGCAGCGCAGACTTGGTGAAGGTCATCCTTAAAACGCACTAGTGCTGACGAGACCAATCTTGTCCAGGCTGCACCCGTGTTAGATACAACGCCCTTGGGCAAGAACACGTCCCAGCACCAATTCCGCGATGAGACACACGATCGTTTTTTTGATCTTAGTGGGCGGATCGATCATGTGAGCTTCAATCGCCGCGGGCACATTGCCTCTTGCTTGTCTCTGTCCGTCTTTGTTTGCCATTTTAGTCTCACTTCCTTTGCCTTTCCTCCTCTCCGCCGAGTCAGATGAATGACAAGCACCTTTACGGCACCACGCCCTCCCAACACATCTCTGCCCACCGCTTTCGCGAGGAACCAAAGGATGTACACGTCGACTGGAACGCATCCGTCCACGTTGACGAGGTCTGATGTCCAATCACTGCTCTGCTGCGCTGTTCTTGCCGGTCATGCAGATCCTTGCTTTTTTACTGTTCTCACGCTGCACTGCTTGTTGCTCTTTCCAGCCCAAGCCCTTGTTCGATCTTGCCTTGCCGCAAAAGACGATTCGGGACATTGCACGCGATGACTTTCAGCCCGATATCCCATGGGATGTCTCTGTGCACCCTGACCCCGAGGTGTGCCCCAACGCATGGCAGCGCTCGTCTACCGATGGAGCCACATGACCCACCATATGCTCATATTGCTCACGCTGCCCGGTGTCTACTCAACAGCACACACCTTATGCCACCGAGCCCAATGTACATATTAGTCAGCATCGGTTCCGAAATGAGCAAGCTGTCGAGGTGGCCTGGGCCAACACCAGCGTCGTGCGTCCGGTGAGTTTGAGAGTTTAGGTGTGAATACATCACCATCGGTTGCCTTTCAGTCTGCCCTCATTGTCCTTCAATTTGCTTCATTATACCGCCACACGTCTGATAGGAGAGCGCGCCAGTCGATACTACGCCAAACATACACATCTCTCACCATAGCTATCGCGATGAGGCTAGCCCTGACATCCCGTGGGCTGGTTCAGCACACATTGAGTCGGTTCGTGATCCCGTTTAACATCGCCTGTGATGCTAAACGCTTGGAGTTTTGTGTCCTTTCCTTTGAAGTCGTCGTCACAACACCTTTTGTCCATGTATACAGGAGCGCCCAAACTTGGACACAACGCCCAACCGCCACATATCCCATCACAGCTTTCGGGATGAAGCCTCTCCTGATGTGGCCTGGCAGTCGAGTAATCGAATGGAAGAGGTGAGCAAACCCTCATGAAAACTTGCTTCAGCATCTGTGGCGACTTTGACATATTGCTCACATCTGTTGCTGCTTGGGTTCAGACTCCTATGCTGCTGGACACAGTCCCTAACAAGAACATTGCCCACCACTCGTTCCGCGACGAGGTCGAGCCTGACGTCATGTGGGACGGTAGTGGGCGCATCAACGCGGTAAGCGGGGCCATTGTAGACACCACCTCGGGCTGAATGTGGGCTGAATGTGGGTGTAGCACCTTGATCTCATCTGGGCACTTGCATTTTGTGTCCTGTAGGAGCGCACTGCTTATGACACCACGCCCAATGCCCACATTGCCCACCACTCGTTCCGCGACGAGGTCGAGCCTGACGTCATGTGGGACGGTAGCGGGCGCATCAACGCGGTAAGCGGGGCCATTGTAGACACTGAATGTAGGTGTAGCACCTTAATCTCATCTGGTCACTTGCATTTTGTGTCCTGTAGGAGCGCACTGCTTATGACACCACGCCCAATGCCCACATTGCCCACCACTCGTTCCGCGACGAGGTCGAGCCTGACGTCATGTGGGACGGTAGCGGGCGCATCAACGCGGTAAGCGTGGCCATTGTAGACACTGAATGTAGGTGTAGCACCTTAATCTCATCTGGTCACTTGCATTTTGTGTCCTGTAGGAGCGCACTGCTTATGACACCACGCCCAATGCCCACATTGCCCACCACTCGTTCCGCGACGAGGTCGAGCCTGACGTCATGTGGGACGGTAGTGGACGTGTCGTTGAGGTTGGTTTTTTTTTTTTTTTTTTTTTTTTTTTTTTTTTTTTTTTTTTTTTTTTTTTTTTTTTTTTC